TCCGGGCTGAGAACGAGACCTTTCCGTTGACCACGGCGGACTTTGCGTCCATCAATCGCGAGAACCCTTCAGAAACTGCAGAGCAATTGCTTGAGCTATTGCAGCAAGTCCTGCGGAGTCCCGGAGCTCAGGAGCCCGAGTATCACTATCAAGATGGCTCTTGGAAAGTCTGCCGCTGCCTCGAGTCTGTTGATGCCAGTGCTAAGATCCATGGCTGCCTGCACCATGAAGCGGCTGTCAGCGATAAGACAGAGTTGCAGCCCTTCTACCAGCCCGGTAGGCCCTTGAAGTTGAGCATCAAGACGCCCGGTCTTCTGGATACGCTGCGCTTCGAAGACGATCCCCTACCAGCCGAACCTCTTGGGCCTGACGAGGTTGAAGTTGAAGTCAAGGCGTCCGGCGTCAACTTCCGCGATATCATGATCTGCACGGGACAGATGTCTGACCCTTCGCTTGGACTTGAGTGTGCTGGTATTGTCCACCGCGTCGGAGACAATGTCTCTAATGTCAAGGTCGGTCAGCGCGTGGTAGCGTGGACTCGATATAACTACTCCAACTACGCTCGTACTCCCGGTTGCGTTGTCGAACCAATCCCTGACGACATGACCTACGCCACCGCGGCCTCCTTGCCCATCGTATACAACACCGTCATCTACGGGTTACAACACATGGCTCGTCTCCGCAAGGGCGAGTCGGTCCTCATCCACGCAGCTGCTGGAGGTGTTGGCCAAGCAGCCATCACCCTAGCCCAACGTCTCGGGGCGGATATCTTTGTAACGGTCGGAACTCAAGAGAAGCGAGACCTTGTCAAGAGAGAGTTTGGAATACCTGACGAGCGCATCTTTTCTAGTCGTGACATTAGCTTCGCGCACGACATCAAGAAGGCAACCAACGGCCACGGCGTTGATGTTGTGCTTAACAGCTTGGCTGGAGAGATGTTAAGTGCTACGTGGGACTGCATTGCTACATTTGGCCGCTTCATCGAGATGGGCAAGAAGGATATTGTAGACAACCGTCGTCTCGATATGGCGCCGTTCCTGCGCAATGTCATGTTTGCCTCTATTGATCTCATTACCGTCTATGAGCGGAACATCTCATTGGCAGGTGAGCTTCTCCATGAGACGATGGACCTCATCCGAACCAAGGCTATCAAACCTATTCCCCGCATCAAGACATTCTCATTCTCCCAATTTGAGGAGGCTTTTCGTTTCATGCAGCAAAGCAAGCATGTCGGTAAGATTGTTATGGTGCCTGAAGAGAACGACATGATCCCAGTAAGTTTCACTTTGCAATATCATTCCTGCTGGTCTAACAATTTCTACTAGGCTATCCCAGCATCCTCGGGTCCCTTGACCTTCCAAGAAGACGCGTCATATCTCATTACTGGATTTGGCGGTCTCGGTCGCAGTATGGCACGCTGGATGGCTTCGCGAGGTGCCAAGAACCTCATCTTCGCTTCTCGTTCTGGAGACCGCCGCCTTGAAGTGCGCGAGCTCATTGATGAACTTGCAGAGGTTGGCACGCGAGTCGAGGCTCTGTCGGTTGACATCACCAATGGGCCAGCACTAGATGCCGCCATAAGAGGCATCGCCGACAATTTCCCACCTCTCCGTGGTGTTGTTCAAGCTGCCATGGTTCTGGACGATGCCATCTTCGACAACATGTCTCTCGAGTCGTTTAACACCGGCATTAGGCCCAAGGTTCAAGGAACTTGGAATCTACACCAGTCTACGTTGAACCAACCGCTCGACTTCTTCGTCATCATGGCGTCTTCTGTCGGTGTTCTTGGTAACTCGGGTCAGGCCAACTACTCAGCCGGTAACGCGTACGAGGATGCTCTCGCACAGTACCGCCGCTCGCAAGGACTCCCTGCCATCTCGGTTGACCTGGGTATGATCTTGTCTGTGGGTGCCGTGGCTCAGGACTCTACTGGAATGATCCGCAACAATCTAGAGAGCAAAGGATTCGTGGGTATTGAGGAGGATGAATTCCTTGCCATCCTCGAGACTTCCATTCGAGAGTCGTCCTCTTCATCAGCAGCCGGCCAGATGATCACTGGCATCCAGACACAACCCACTGTTCCAGGTGACGACGGCGTTCCCGTTGACGAACCCTTCTGGAAATCTAGCCCAGTCTTCTCTCACCTCCCAAAACTGGGCGCCCGCTCTTCCGGTCAGTCCAACAATGTGGGCGAGCAGTCCATTCAGTCTCTCCTCAAGAGCGCCCTCTCACTAAATGATGCTGTGACGGTCATCATCGACGCAATGACAATCAAGCTCAGCCGCAGTCTGATGATGGACGTCGCAGAGCTGGACCCGACCCGACCAACCAGTGCATTTGGAATAGACAGCTTGGTGGCTGTCGAGCTCCGAAACTGGTTCCAGAAACACATGAAGGCTGATATTGCCGTCTTTGAGATTTTGCAGACGAACAGCCTGCAGACGCTTGCCTTTAGAGTTGCAGAGAAGAGTAGTTTGGTGGAAAACTCCCTGGCGGATGGACAGTGATGGTTTGTATTCTTTAGTTCCAAGGCATAATCGATCAATCTTTCTATGCTATTGCTTGATGTGTAGTGTTAGTACATTGGGTTTTCCTTGATTCACTCGAAGGCAAAGTTCATTTGCAGTCCTACCCTCTGACGCACTAGCTATGGTCGGCCTCTGCCTTTGGCGAGAGAAGTGTCTCAGTAATTATTTCATCACGGAATTCTGCCTTCTTGTCTCTATCATCCAATTAAACCTTGTACGAAGATCAAATGTCACTCTTATTGAGGCATCATTTTGGACATCTGCCCCAGTCCTCGAATGCTCCCGTTGAGGAAAATCGTAGACGGCACGCAACTCGAATCCTTCCGAAGTGCGGGTATTAAACGCCGCAGCAGGGATAGCATCCATGTGATGGCCGGAGATAATTGCATCGTACGAGCGTCTAACCCGGCGAGTTTCTTGGATCCGGCCCACAGATCCAAAAATTGCCGAGAGGGCACAAAATTAATCCACCGAGCATGACGGCTTTGGACTCGATTGCACATCTGAATTCCGTTCACCCGCTTCTTGATGAGATACAGCACGTTAAAAGAACAAATGAGCCTTAATCGGCATCATGATAGACCGCTAGAGATAGAACAAAAATGGACACATTCGACGTCATAATTGTCGGTGCTGGCTTGGCCGGTATTAACGCTGCGTACCGCCTCCAATGTGCCTTGCCGTACCTCAGCTACGCCATACTCGAGGCCCGTGATGATATAGGTGGCACATGGGACCTCTTTCGCTATCCGGGCATCCGCTCAGACTCGGATCTATACACCTTCGGCTTCGCATGGCAGCCGTGGGATCAGGGCACCGCGCTAGGTGAGGGCGGTGCTATCCTCAACTATATGAAGAAATGTGCGCAGACACACGGTATCGACAAGCATGTTCACTGCCAACGGCGACTGAAACATGCCTCATGGTCTACACCCCAGCAGACATGGACCCTTGAGGTACAAGACACTGGCGCACAAAAGGAGCTTCAGTATCATGCCCGGTTCGTCATGCTCTGCACTGGCTACTACGACTATCACAACGGCCGTGACACGGTCATCCCCGGTCTAGACAACTTCAAGGGCCAGGTGGTGCACCCCCAGTTCTGGCCCGAGGATCTGGACTACACCAATAAGCAGGTAGCGGTGATCGGCAGCGGCGCCACGGCCATCACGCTGATCCCCAAACTCGCCGAGGAGGCGGCTCGAACCACCATGGTGCAGCGGAGCCCGTCGTATATCTTATCCATCCCCAATGGTGGCAAAAAGGCCCCATGGCTGGTGCGGCTGCTCCCTGCGCGGTGGGCTCATGCTTACACCCGCCTGTCGTTCCTGATATGGTCCCGCTTCATCTGGCTCTTTTGCCAGACGTTTCCGGACCGGGCCCGTCAGCGGCTCCGCAAGGGCGTCGAGAAGGAGTTGCCGCACCATCTGCCCTACGATCCACACTTTAACCCACGCTACAACCCCTGGGATCAGCGTGTCTGCCTGACCCCAAATGCCGACTTCTTCAAGTGTCTGCACACAGGCAAAGCTGACGTCAAGACGGGCAACATCAAAGAGGTAGTCGCCGACGGCATCATGCTTGAGAATGCGCCCCAAGACAAGATCCCCGCTGATATAATCATCACGGCGACGGGCCTCAAGTTGCAACTCGCAGGCGGTGCCACCATTGACGTCGACGGCGTCCCTATCAAACCCTCTGAGCAGTATCTTTGGAACGGAACCATGCTGCAGGATGTGCCAAACTTGTCCCTTGTCATCGGCTACACCACTATCTCCTGGACTCTTGGTGTTGATACCGCCGCCATGCTCGTGTGCCGTCTGCTGCAGAAGCTGCAAAAGGCCAAGCTGTCGAGCGCCACGCCTCGAGCTGAACAGGGCCTCGCCCTGACGCCAAGGCGTCTGTTCAACCTCTCGTCGACGTACGTCACCACGGCAGAGAGCGAGCTCCCAAGAGCCGCAGCCCAAGCACCCTGGCAGCCTCGAACCAACTACCTCTCGGATTACTGGTTCGTCAAGCTGGGCAGATTGGACAAGGGTCTTCAGTTTGTGCGGGACGAAAAGCAGCTGTGACAACAAATGGGACTCGAAGGACCGTTCTATAAATGCCCAATTTAGGGCCGACAGAGATACTTATCTTTTCTTTCTTTTATAATAAGACAAAAGCGCTGTATTGATAAACGAAGCGAAGTTAATCATCATGACTAGGGAAGCGGCACCTTGAACAGCATTCAAGAGGGAAACGACAAAGCTCAGAGCCATTAAGAATTGAAGAACCAGGTCGGCTTTCAGTATTACAACTACTACATAAATGAAAAAGTGCCTTTGTGGAATGGACAGCATTCCATATTGTGAGGTTGGTCATCCCAAGCACATCTCCTAAAAGGCCTCTCGTAGCCCAGTGGCTCTGTCCGTTCAGAATATCATCTTGCAGCTCCCCATTCAATCTCTCAAGAAGAGTGCAAAGTTAAGTCTAGTTTGAAACGCCGACAGGGGTCATGCAAACAAGAGCTTGGCCAAGCTAAAGTTCGAGGCGAGTTAGCATCTACTATTTCCTGCCCAAAAATAAGACTTACTACAGGGAGAACACAGCATCGAGCTCGTTTACCACTGGCAGCGCAGATGGCTTGGAAGTTGGCGGCATCGGTAGGAGACTCGGTGGCTAGTAATCCCGTTAGCTACAAGATTTCTTATGAGGTCAATGGTATACTCACGTGAGTCACATTCAACGTCTGCAACCCCAAGAACATCGAGGGAGCAACACTCAGGGTTTCCATAGAGACTGTCGGGGCATGGATCAAAGTCGGCGGCCGCTGCGCTGGTGGATGAGCTGGGAACGGACTCTGTGGAAGAACCGGGGGCAGAGGTAGCCGCTGACGAAGCAGGGCTGGAGGTTGTGGGGCTGGCGGTGGAGCTGTTGTCTGCATCACTAGTTGAAGGGGTAGAAGAAGAGGTGCGAGAAGTAGTGGGGTTGCTTGTGTCTGCACCAGCACTGGAGGGTGCCTCAGACTGTGTGTTTGATGAAGCAGCTGAGCTGCTTGCTGGTACACTAGCGGAAGTGCTCGCAGGAGTATCGTCGGTAGTAGCCGGGCTGGGGCTGGATGTCTCAGGAGCAGAGGATGATGGTCCACTACCGTCAGTGTTACTAGTTGGAGCGGCGCTATCGCTAGGCCCCTGAGTAGCAGAGCTGCTAGGGCCAGAGGAACCAGGACCTCCAGAGCTGCCACCTCCGGGTGATGAAGCCGACGGACTGTTGGTTACAGGAGTGGGAGATGAGGCAGGTCCAGTGGGAGAGCTAGAGGGTGGAACCACCACGATGACTGTGCCTGTGCCAGTTGATCCAGATGGTGAGATAGTAGTCGTAGTAGGACTGTCTGTTGGTTTGAGGGTAGTTTCAGTGGTGGTAATAGTGGTAAATGGGACGGAAGCAGGAGAACTGGATGGCGGGACCTCAACGATGACTGTGCCTGTACCAGCTGACCCAGAAGGGGAAATAGTAGATGTAATGGGACTGTCTGTTGGGTTAAGGGTACTATCAGTGGTGGTAACAGTGACAAATGGAACTGAGGAAACAGATGATGCCTGGGAGCTTGGCACGATAACAATAACGGTGCCTGTACCAGTTGACGCAGATGGAGAAACAGTTGAAGTGACAGGATCGTCTGTTGGGTTGAGGGCAGTACCGGTCGTAGTAGTAGTGATAAATGGGATTGAAGAAACTGGAGAGTCGGAAGGGGGGACCTCCACGATGACGGTACCTGTGCCAGTCGACCCGGATGGGGAAACTGTAGATGTGATAGGATTGTCCGTTGGGTTGAGGGTGCTTATGGTAGTGGTAACAGTGACGAAAGGTATAGAAGAAGCTGGGGAGCTCGGCACTATAATGATGACAGTGCCAGGGTCGGTGGGGTTGCCGGGTGGAATAGTGCTCGTGCGAGGGTCATCAGTGGGAGAAAGATTTCCTGTAGTAGTACTGGTGACATAAGATGCTGAAGGAGAAGCAGCCTCGGTGTTTGGGACCTCGACGATGACACTACCGGTTGCCCCGGGCCTATCAGGCGTGATAGTTGTGGTAGTAAGAGAGGGAAAGTCTCCAGTGGTAGTGACCGTGACATACGGGACTGAAGAGGGAGAGACCCCATCAGCTCCGAGAGGAGATGTTGGAACTTGAATAACCACGATGCCCGGCTCACCAGGCTCAGTCGGGGGATAGGTCTTGGTGACAGGTTGGTTGCCAATGTCATCAGGGTTCGCAGGAACAGTGAAGGTGAGGTAACCTCCATCGGGAGGAGAACCGTTGCCGTTGCCATTACCATTGGTAGCACTATTTTGAAATGATTAGTTGGGTCTCATACAACTGTCAATGGCATATCGAACGTACCTAGTCAGAGTAGTCAAGCTAGTCGAGACATCAGTCAGGACAGTGCTCAAAGACGTGGGAGCATTGGTGACATGCACAACAAGACCATCATCAAGGACAATGTCAGTGTTGGCAGGGAAGTAGGAGTCGATGAGGATAGGCTGCTGGAACTGATATTCAATGGGCTGGAGATTGATGACGGTTGAGCAGAGAGGATCAGCGGAGGCTTGAGCAAGTACAAGCTCCATCATCGCTGAAGCAGCCATGACACTCTTGGACTTCATGGTGATTAAAGAGTACCAAAGGATAAGAATAAGCGAGTGATATGAAGAAAACGAGTGTAATCAGAAATTGATGAGAGGATATGATTGAGATTCAAGTGAATATCACTGGAATCATGCTGAGGGAGAGCTGTATATACACGTTCAAACCACTGAACCAAGATGTTGATTCTTGAACAACAACATCGCACGGCATTGAGGCAATTTCTCCTGTTTAACTTGACAAATGCCGACACGACCTCCATGACCCGACCTCCCGCCGCAAAAGTGAAGTCTTTCAGCTCCCATCGCAAAACTTTGTCTCTTGACAACCCAACCATTGACACTATCGCCTGCCTGTCTCACATTCTCTCCGCTAAGCTAGGTTCCATCGGAGATATTAGCCGCCGATCACCTTCCCGAAACAGGTTTGACAGGGAACCGTTATGCAAGGTAGAGATGATAGTATTGCCTCGTTTGGACGGATCAACAGGCATTGAGTTTTTGCTTCAGCTGCGTTGTGCATGTTTTGGTCTCAAAGTTGGAAGTGTTATGATATCGAGAGGTATGAAAGTGTCAAAAGTAATCTTGGAACAATTTGGGTACTGAGAGGTCGGCGATATATAATACTTAGACGAAGGGATGTTTTTGCAATGGCAGGCATACAAGTCCCTTACTAACTTTCACTCGTTCACACATTTGTCACTCGCTTCGTCGCTCGCTTCAAAATGCAAACCTTCAAGTCCCTCATCCCCCTTCTCCTGACTGCCAGTCTTGCAGTCAACGCAGAGACAACCTCCTGCGTTACCTCAACCAAGACCTTTCCAACCCTCACCTCCATCATCGTTGAACCGACCAGCACCTGGTCCGGCAACGGCACAGGTGGTGGTCCTCATACCGTGTATACCACTGAGTATCATGAGTTCTGCTCCACTGGTCTGCGTCTGCACACGTACACCATCACTGAGGCTTGCCACAAGGAAACGTGTCAGCCTCGCACTACTGGTGTTCCGCCTGGTTTTACCTCAACTGTTACTGTTTGTAACTCTTGTGGTGAGAAGCCTATCACTGCGACGCTTACTGTTCCGTGCCCTGAGGCTACACCTACCAAGGGCCCTAGCAAGCCCGAGCACTGTGAGACATGCCATGGTCAGGGTGAGCCTTCTGGCGAGCCTCCGGTCGAGCCACAACCTGTTTCATCTGCCCCTGCTGTGAAGCCAGTCCCCACGGCTCCTCATCCAGGAGAATGCACCACGTGCGGACCCAAGCCCCCATCTGCTGCTCCTCCTCAACCTCCCAAGCCAACCAATCCTGGCGAGGACAAGCCAGAGCACCCTAACTCTCCTGCATGCACTACTTGCGGTGCTCGAGGAGAAGCTCCTCAACCCCCTGCATCCCTGGCAACCTCTGTCGTCCCCGGCCTCTCTGGAGAGAAGCCAGCTACTAGCCCTACCAGCCCTGCTCCCGGAGAACCATCTGCTATCACTGCTGGCGCTGCCAAGTCTTCGTATGTTGAGTTGGGTCTCCTTGGAGTCTTTGGTTTTGGTTTGATTCTGTTGGGAGTTCATCTTTAGATTGTCTTAGTATAGCTTGATCATCTCAGTCATCTGGCTTAAAGTGTTGAGGTGGAGGTGGTTTTGGCTGGGTGTTGTCAGGGAATATGTAATTACTAATACAGCATTTGCTTAATCCCGAGCTTGGCTACTCGATAATAACTTCCCTTCTTGTACATAATGGCATGTTGAATTCTTAATTGAATGATTGAATCGAAAGTACTTTGTCAATGCTGCAATCAATGCTGCAAGTATGTGGATGTTCACTGTGCTACATACGCGATGCGTTGTGATAGCATTCAGTTCAGCTCCGCTGGTTAATCTCTGTATACACTAAGCGATGCAAAGCAGGGAATAATCCATTGAATGAAGCAGTGATCATCAACTAATATTTCCTTGCGGACACTAAAAGATATCCATGTCTATCTGTCAGATCGAATTAAGTAGAGATCTACAATCATTCTCCGACGTCTGAGACAATGTCAAGGGAAGAGCTGTCAGCCGTATTGCCGGTAACATTATGCGCGCGTGGAGAACTCTCCGCCGCTCCAATTAATTATATGAAAATTCTCCGCATTTAGGGACAAGATCGGCGGGTGGTTCCTGGTTTTGTCTAAGACATCGTCACGGCAGTTCGTTAGTCTGGATCGAGTAAGCAACGGCTGATTCATGACATGTCCCTCGCAGCTTCGGCAATTAGTTTTGTATGACAGCGAGTTCCGGAACTGAATCGAAGGGAGACTCCTTGCAGTTTTCTTTCCTGAATCTACCAACAACGACATTAATTCCTTTCACTTCTATCCCGTGTCTCAACGTTCTTAGCACTGCTTTTAGCAGATAGATTTATTCAGTTACTATTTTCATTCTATATCTATCTTTTACCGGAATCACCATTATGAGAACACCGAGTTCAGTTTACTCAAGACTGTATACAATTAATGATATCAGTTCGATTTCGAAAGATTACACAAAGCCCACCAGCCGGCGTGCTATAGGTTACTGAAATAAACTTGTTTATTATTATCTAGAAATTCAATACTCCGGGGTAGGCCACTTTTTAGACATTAGGACATGATGATCTGCAAATAGATCAAGTTAGCGGCATGAGTTTGACGACCTAGTTGACCTTATCGAGGGCACGATCCATCCTTGTGCATCAAGAGTGGACGATGCAGAGCTGAGGAGCATTCCAAGCTTCAACCTCCCTCGCCGAAAGTGCCGGAAACAGAAAGTCATCGTGTACAGCTCAGAGTTGTTGAGGAACGCGAGGCTGGAGAATGATATCCAGAATACCAAGACGAGATGACTTGTCTTACAGCTCTCGAGTATCTTTCTCTATAAAGACCGCATCTTGCGCCAGCTTTCCAGATATTTCACCATCATCACTCAGCATCCCAACAATCCATCACACTCACTCTTCAATCTTTCCAATCCAATCTTTCAACTCAGCAACCATGCAGTTCTACGCCATCGTCTCTCTCTTCCTCGCCGGTGCCGCCTACGCCGCGCCCGCTACCTCCTCCAACGGCTACGATGCTTGCCCCGATGGTGGTCTCTTCGGAAACCCCCAGTGCTGCAGTCTCAACCTCGTCGGTGTCCTTTCCGGCGACTGCCGCTCCCGTGAGTTCACCCTCCACCGTTCATGACAGGCAACTAACTAATCGTGACAACAGCTACCAGGACTCCCAACAGCGCCAAGGAGTTCCAGGAGATCTGCGCCGAGTCTGGCCAGAAGGCTCGCTGCTGCGGCCTCTCCGAGATTGTAAGCTACCTCTTCTCTACTTTCAAGATAATAGATTGGCTAACCGTGATGTAGCTTGAGCTCGGCGCTTTCTGCCAGAAGCCTGTCGGTGTCGCTGCTTAAGCCCTCGAAGGGGTTGTCACTTGCTGTTCGGGGTGGTGTAGTCCGAAGTTGTCGGCGCGTGTTCTAATATTTGTGGAGGATCCTGAAAACTGCAAGTAACAGTGGGCTCTACTCTAGATCGATCGCATGATTAGGTAGCAATCTAAGGTCTCTGTTATCATTGCAAATGTGCTATCTGTCCACCTGCCTCAACCTACCCGTGCTAGGATTTTGTAGTCCAAAGATAGGAATGACTTGTATTCAGCAGCCGCTCGAAATGCCAACGGTGAGGATCTTATCTAGGCTTAGTAAGACTTCCACTTGAAACGCCTAAGCGAGAGTGAGAGATGGCAACGCTGGTTGGAAGATACTTTGTTTGTTACGCAAATGTCATCCGGCAGAATTGGGTAATTATGGACCATTTAATTTAATGGTCCTACAAAGGAGGGCGGCGCAGGTGACACAAAACTGCCAAAAGTACAGACTCGCTAGACTCGTCAGTCTCCGGAGGCCGAATGAGGCGTCTGACATGCATCAAGAATTCCCCGTCTGTAGCCACCAAAGGATATCCCTGTAACCTCGCTACCAACCAACCGTCATGCAGACCAGACCAACACACGTTCTGACCCACTGGCTAAAGCACACGCCTCGCGTTCTTGCGCCTGCGATTGGTGCATGAACCTTGCCTGCAGGGTAGACGAACGGAAGACTGGAGGAAAGTTTGCTCCGTCCAGAAAGAAAGATTGAGGCGCAGGAGACAGAATACATAAAATGATACTCAACAGAATCGACAATGGATTGCTTACGATGGGTCCGACTTGAGAATGCCCCACTGAAGGCGACTTAACGTATGATCTCGGAATGCCAAGCACATGATTGCGGTAGACATAGGAATCTCTCTTGTTGGGGGCCGTGGATTGGAGATGATGACAGTATTTGCCCAAGAGTACGTGGAATGTACAGTAGCACGGTCACATTGACATGTACTCATCGCGCTTCAAAATTCGACGCTCACAAGTTCAGGTCAATAATCACAAGAAAACCTCATTTCTCGAGATAACCTCCGGCTGCACGCCAAGATATGATCGCCCAGCCCTGTTTCGCCGCAGCGTATCCCCAAGCGAGATTGGCGGGCCGCTAGGAGAGTTACAAGCTCCTCTTCCGCTTGAGCTTCCCACGCTGTACTAGCTTGGCAGACGGGTAAGCGGGAGCGGCACAGGAATTATCGGAAGCTAAGGACCTACCCGGCCACCGTGATGGCTGCAGCGCATGGAAGGATTCTTTGCTTTGCTCTGTTTGACATGTTATGTTTTGGGGGCCAGATATGGAGATGCAACGTCGCGTAGATGCGCTGCGTGACTTTTGGGGTGATGTATCGGATAAGAACAATGTCTTTCCGCATGGATCTTTTGCACAACTTCAAGAATGGAAGATGCCGAAATTCTGTGCCGTCCAGGGGTTTAGATCCTTTACTGTCTGTGGATGGTACGATGAGTGCGTTATTGCAAGCATATGTCCCTGATTGTCGCAATTGCGAATGCTGAGGGTTTTTCAAGCGCCCACTAAAGATGGGGGGTTGCAGGGGCCTGTTTGCCAGAACCAACATCGAAACCTTTGCTCTCGACTTGGGCATTCGTAAAAGCATGTCCAGCAGCGTAACGAGGCACCCGAATCCCTCCATTTGGGATACTGACTCAATTGCTACATTACCATGCAGCAGAACAAAAAAATCCGCCGTCGGTTTCTTTCTGCGTTCGTTCTCGTTTCCATAGCTTAAACCCCAAATTAGTTACCGCATGCCCGCCCTTTTCTCCGCAATAATGCACAGTCCATCCGGAACACGACCCAAGAAGAGACTCGCCTGCGATAGATGTCACGCTCGTAAACTACGATGCTCTAGTGACCTGGATGGTTGCACACGATGTCTTGGTGACGATCTGGTCTGCACCTATAGCCCTGCTCTCAAGGTCGGACGACCTAGCAAGGCGTCCATGGCTGGCAGAGAGATACTACAGCAAACACAGTCTGTTTCTGACGCTGCGTTTTATGGCATTTCCGATGGAGATGCAGTGACTGCGGATTCGGGGATATCCATGCCGCCATCACCTCCACAGCTCGGCGATAGTTGCATTGCAGGTAAGTCTCCGTCCTCCGCCAATCTTGTATGCATCGCTGTTGATCTCGATTCAGATCATACAGCACTCTTCAGCTCTTTCGACTTTGCCAACACCCTCGACACCTTTAACGCCACACACCCGTTCCTCGACATGCCCATGGGTGAAGACCTGTGGCCTCTGGCGACAAGCCCACCTGTTTCTTCGAACGATCCCAACATCGATCCACGTCTATGTCCAACAAATGAAACAACGAATGCATCTAGCCCGCTTGACAGACTATCGAGCCTCCAACAGGAGCTTTTACGCACGAAACTGCCACCCGCTCACGCGAGGGGCGTCGGCACTAAACCTCGGCCGGCGAAATACACAGAAGCAGCCATGCGACCTATCCAAGAGACCTTGGGCGCAGTCACCGAGCTATTACAACAATGTGTGAAAGGTAATGCCGATGCGGCAGACCCAGCGTGTTCGAATTGGCAAACAGTCCTTCACCTCGTTCTAACGCCCCTGTCTCTTCTACTATCTACCTACGATCAGATACTACACGAGATCCGCAACGCGGCATCGTCATCTATATCGTGTCAGGATTGCACGCTGTTCGACTCGCTGGAGTGCCGCGTTGCAGGCCTGGAGATCGATCCGCCGTTGAGATTGATCTTGCTGGCGACTGTGGTGGACTACCAATTGAAACATCTGTACCACACAGTGAGGACGTTTCAGTCCAAGTACATGCATTCGGGGAATCTGGGAATAGCGGATTGCATGTCGTCGTCGACTATGGCGGAGGTTCAGTCTACCATTCGGTCGCTGCTGGCGGTGACAAGAAGTACATTGCAGCAATCGCAAGAATCATAGATGAAATTCCATCAAAGGTTAAATAAAACAAAACGGAGAATAGATGGCGGTGTTTGTGCTGATGCTAGAGAGGAATGACATCAAATAGACGAGTAGACTTGGGCAAAGTCCTTTATAACGCGATAAACAGGTCTTGTTTTTGCTCGATCATAATCGAAGAATTTCGCTTGCCCTTTCAGTTAGCATCATAATCTCATGAAATGTTATCTGAAACGACTCTAAACATCGTCGATAGGCTGGCCGTTATCAAAAGCTATCAAACAAGCAAAAGAATCAATACAAGATAATCTGCACAGTTAGAACCAAGTATCCGGCTTGTAGCCCGGAAAATGTTAGACAAACTGCTGGGGATAGCCTAGCGGCGCCGGGACCGGGACCGGCTGGCAATTGCCTATTCAGGAAAGCGGGGAATTGCCGCGCTCGACCACGAACCGTCGTATCCGACGATCGGCAATTTATTTTAGGCTGTAGCATGTTGATAGAGCTCGCACGGGTTGGAGGATAGATGACTACTTGAGATTCGTGACAAACCTTTTACTGACTAACAGCCGGCTTGGCTAGAGGACCAGAGTAACATGGAGCTGTTGAACTCGGTTGTCGTATCCGGTCGTCCATAGGTTGTGAGAGAAGGCTGTCACCGTACATCGTGACAGGGCCGGTCGCACTCTTTATCTTCAAGACAGCGTCCCATTTTAGTCCATGGGCAAAATATATAAGGCCGTTTGGTATTCGAGATAACATTATACATACACTCATTGAGTTCCATATTCGAGTATTCACCATTCACAATAGCACTATGACGCGAAGCTTCCCTTTCAAGGTCACGACCCTTATTACCTTTCGATATATCCTGCTAAAGACTAACAACTGCTACAGCTGGACGATCCGTCCCTCCTTCACGAGGAATCACTATTGAATGGCCAATGGGTCCAAGCTCAGTCCGGAAAACGGTTCGACGTTGAGGGTAAGCTGTAATCACTGCGAGCAGAAAGAACACAGCTCATATAATGTTTTACAGATCCTGGCTCTGGTCAAGTCTGGGCCACCAGTCCCACTAACGAAGTTGCCGATGTGGACAAGTATGTTGAATCGTCAGAAGCGGCCTTCCAAAGCTACCGCCATATGAATCCTCGCCAACGAGCCAAGATTCTCCTCAAGTGGCACGAGTTCATCACCAATGCACGGCAAGACATCGCCAAGATTGTCGTCTTCGAGACCGGCAAACCTATGGCAGAGGCACTCGGTGAGGTGGATTACGCCCTTGGCTTCGCTTGGTGGTTCGCCGGCGAGGCTGAGCGTATCAGAGGCTCTGTTGCTCAGCCCTCTATCTCCAACCGCCGAACTTTTGTTATCAAACAGCCGATCGGTGTATGTGTTGCTCTTGTCCCTTGGAACTTCCCTGTCGCTATGATCATCCGCAAGGTGTCGGCTGCTCTAGCCGCAGGATGCACCATGATTGTCAAACCGTCGCCTGAAACCCCCTTTAGTGTTATGGCCCTGGCGGACCTTGCCCTTCGCGCGGGTCTGCCTGCAGGAGTACTGAACGTTATCTCAACTGATAACAGCAATACCCCGTCTGTCAGCGAGACACTCTGCAAGCACCCCCTTGTCCGCAAGGTCACCTTCACGGGTAGTACCTCTGTAGGCAGCATTGTTGCAAGGCATTGCAGCGAAGGTTTGAAGAAGGTCACCATGGAGCTGGGTGGAAATTGCCCTTTTATCATTTTTGATGATGGCGATCTTGAGCAAGCAGTTGCAGCACTCATGATACTCAAGTGGCGAACAGCAGGCCAGGCTTGCACCCACGCCAATCGAGTCTATGTCCAAAGTGGTGTTTACGACAAGTTTGCGCAGATGATGCTCGAGGCGACCAATAAGCTCCGCGTGGGACATGGAGCTGATTCTGGTTCTACTATGGGACCGCTTACTACTAGTCGCGGCGTTGATAAGGTCAAGAAACATGTCGAAGATGCTGTCAGCAAAGGCGGCAAAGTCCTTTGCGGCGGCAAGCAGCCGGAAAATCTGAAAGGGTACTTTTTCGAGCCTACCATCATTTCGGGTATGACCGCAGACATGCTCACAACTCAAGAAGAGATCTTTGGGCCTATACTAGGTCTGTACAAGTTCGAAACTGAAGATGAGGTTGTGAAGAAGGCAAATGACACGTCGATGGGCTTAGCCTCTTACTTCTTTACCAAAGACGTCTCCCGAACCTGGAGACTTTTGGAAATCCTAGAAGCTGGAATGATCGGGATGAATACTGGTATGTTTCTCTTTGTCACTGTTGTCGATTGATACTAATCACTGTTTACAGGGAATGCCTCTTGTGCTGAGTCTCCATTTGGTGGAATCAAGTTGTCGGGATATGGCAAGGAAGCAGGCAAGGATGTGGCTATCGAGGAATATCTCATCCAGAAGACGGGCACTTTGACTGTTGACGATGGTCCCAAGTTGTGAGCTGGTTGATATGCAGTTTAGGGAGTCTTGTTAAATATTATCAAAGTCGACGTTGGTTTACTCGAAAATTGGGTAATTTTGCGTAAAATGGTGCATACTTAAGCAAACATTGATACCCTTGTTCTCCGAGACTGGGGTTTTGGCGAAATCAAATCCTGAGCCTGCATATCCTGTTGCATTGAGCAGCAAAGCTGATGAAGTCTGGGTTGTGATTTTGCATCAAGGCGGCGAGGCGTAATCGAGAAACATATTGATATAACATTCCGCCGTGTTCATCCGCGACGTGATGCCGATTCGTCGTTTAAAGTGGTTGCAGGCCACTTCGTTTGGCTGTACTGCTACATATCATGCACGGAAATCGCGTGTGTAACTAAAGAATTCTCATTCTGGGCAGCAGAATCTAACAACAAATCCCCGATCGCAATACATAATAGCAAATCTTACCTACGCATGAACCCACTAACACGGTGCACTACTGTCCTCAATTTCTGACCTCTCAAGTGACCTGCTTGCTATCAGGTAAATCGCCGACGGGCTCCACATCTATATCGGTTGCAGCGGGAGCTTCAGGAACAAGCTTAATCAGGAACACCATGCAAGGAATAGTAAGGCACAAGACCGCAGCGTGGACATAAAATGGAATCCTGGCATCGGAACCGCTGTGAGAGTTGATCGCATAAGACACCGTCTGTCCAGCTGTCTCAAAAGCTCTAAGCAAACCGCCCGAGCGGGCAGAAGATCCAGCTTCAGTGGAGAAAGTACCGAGGATCCAGTAGAGAGATAATTGGCATACGTAGCTAGTTGACTGCATTATCAGATATGGGAGGTAGGCCTCGGCCCATCCCCAGGTATTGCTTTGAGAAAATACGTGTTAGTAATTAGTATAGGAGGAGACACGGGACCAGCATACTTTTCATAATCGAGAGCGTTTTCGAGTTTGCCTCCACCAAACTTGGCGTACTCGATACCGATCCAGATGAAGCAGGCGGCTTGTGGAATCAACCAGCAGGCGAAGGATATCCATGCTCGCTTGGTCTGAGACCAGCGGGTCCTGTCTAGGAGCTTTCCAAAGGCCACCACCTCGATGATAGAAAGGGTTGCTAATAGATAACATCACGTTATTATCTTGCGCTTCATCTTGGTTGATTATGGACTTACGGAGCAGAAGAGAAGACAATGCTCGTGCACGCACTGAAAAGTGCAAAGATAGATAAGTGCCCATGGTTCCGCCACAGAAGAAGGAGTAGAAGGCCGGTAAGGCCATAAGCCAGGTCTTAATTCTAATATTAGCGAGTGTTTGTAAATAGAGATACATAATAACTCACCTTTCTGCGCTGTAAATGCTTCCATAAGGCAGCAAACTCTTGCTTCCAGCTGACTCTCTCGGACATGGAAACCTTACTGCCATCAACGCGTCGGACCCGTCTAGTTGGCGAGAGCAGGAAAGCCCAAACAAGGCCAGTGCATTCTGTTGGAATCTAGTTAGGCACTTCAAAGAGCGGTCATTGATCAGCGTGGCTTACCGAATGCAATAAAGACGAGGTAGGTAGACCACGCAACACCTCCCGCTTTGGAGTCGCTGTGATTATTGGAAAAGTTGATTGCACCTCCAATAACACTACCCGAGTTCCGCATGGCAGACCAGACACCTGGGGAACTGTCAGTAGCTTCCTTACACGTGGTTTGCCGTTTACTCACCGAGATAGAAGCCTCTGTCGTTTGCGAGGGGATACGACAACATGGCCGTAGACTCTGCGACGTATAAAAAGCCATAGGTGAATCCTGTGAGTATCTATAACACCTGTCAGCGACGGTAGATCGAGTTGAGATATTAGTTGCGAGATGTACCTTTGCAAAGATGAGATACCAATTTACACGGTACTTTGCGCATACGTAGTACGCAGAACCAGAAAGAGGCATTCCCACCGCTGCTATAATGCAGGACCACTTGATACCAAACTTGTTGATCAAAGGACCACCGAAGAGAGTAAGTAGACAGCCAGCCGTGTAGTTCAGAGACGTCGCCAAGTTTGCTAGATATGGAGTTGAGAGACCGCCGCCTCCGAGGTTAGAAATAGCATCGGACATGGCTGGGCCAACGCAGGAGAGACTGGTAGTATGCAAGGATTAGTAAGTGGTGGTTTTGGAGAAGTGATGGATGGCTCACAGTCCAAGGAGAATCATCTGGAACAAAACGCTCCTGTAGAGCTTTGTGGGCTTTGAAGCGTTTAGGTAGCCATAGTCAATTCCTGCGTCGAGAACTTCGCCATCGACATAGCTAGTGGTTGGAGCACGATCATTATGTCCACTAATCTTGGTATCGTCCTTAGGGACCGGAGTCGCCATGTTATGAATAATGTATTTCGCAACAATTGGATATTGAGAACAGGAACTTGAACTCGTATAGAGTCATTCTTCATGCAAAGGACAGTAATGGCATATATATCATTGGTTATCACCTCCCAATCTTTGGGAGACCTCACTGCTCAGATCGTAGGGTAACACTGAGCAGTGGGAGGGTTGCCCCGCATAGGCTGGTCCAACTGCTTATCGCGGGGTACGCCCAGATTTGGTCCAGCTATCTGACACTAAAATGCCGTGCTATCCTGCTAATACTGATCAGCCGTGTAGGGTATGTAACGGTAGATAATCGCGTTACCTTGCATTTAGACCGGGCCGGTGATGCCTGATACGGTAATTCTTTAGTGCTGTTCGGGCCCACTCCATAAACGATATGGCCTGTTTGCACTATGAACGAGACGCTGTTTCTGCATCGATATCTATTTAGATGAACGTTTCTGCTACCTAAATAACCGGGCCGGTCAATAAATAGTCGTTATCATATTATGCTTTACCCGTAAGTTACATTAGTCCTTGTAACCTCTTTGTCTTTATATCGTGGTGGGTTGCATTCACCTGGTTTACGAACGGGGTCAATAAAGTGGGGGTTACTGATTGCTCACGCCTATTTTACTCAACATCTTACTACCTTGTTCTTCAAAGATTGATAACAGCCAAACCAAGATACCAGTCCGCAATTCATTCAGCCGCAATCAAACACCATGTCGCCTTCTCCTCTTCCTGTTGATAACGCCACAACCTCCTTTTGGAGGTCAGACCTACACCCTCTAGATAACCATCGCTCAACGCCTGAACTCCCTTTCCAAGTCGACATTGCCATTATCGGTGCGGGATATGCAGGTGTCGCGACTGTCTACCATATTCTCGAGCAATGCAAAGCTCAAGGCGTCCCTCCGCCAAAGGTTGTGATTCTTGAAGCTCGCCAAGCTTGTTCGGGAGCTACCGGGCGAAATGGTACATGATTCTCTATCTCCTATGTAAAGTTCTACCTCGTTAATCATTGATGCAGGCGGCCATTTGAAGCCAGATCCATACAACAGACCAGCCAATCTTCTGGCTACTTACGGCATTGAAGCTGCAGCTGAGGCTGCCGAGTTCGAAGCCAAGAATCTCGCTGCTGTCAAAAAGGCCATTGAGAAAGAGGGCGTTGACTGCGACTTTGTTTATACCCGTGCTGTCGATGCGCTCATGTCAGATGATATACTGAACAAGATAAAATCGGGAGTAGACGCTCTCGGACAGAAAGGGGTGTCCGTTATGCAGGATGTCTTCTTTGCTCAAGGTGCTGAAGCTGAACAGGTAAGTAAGATCCGATTTCCACTCGAAAGCTGAGATGGTACTTACTATCAGTGTCTTAGCTATCGGGTGTCAAGGGAGCCAAAGGCTGCTTCTCGTACACGGCGGGCCACTGCTGGCCATACAAGCTCATTCTCCAACTACTGTCCAAGGCTGTCGATGCCAATGTCAATCTGCAGACCAACACGCCCGTCACTGCAGTTACTGAAAAGCCTGATAAAGAGAGCTATCTAACACTGACGACTCCCCGTGGCTCAATCCGCGCTGCAAAGATCATCTACGCGACTAACGCCTACACATCATCCATATTACCCGAGTTCGCGGACAAGATCGTCCCAGTGAGGGGAATCTGCAGTCATATCAAGCCCAGCAAGACCCCGGCACCTTTACTGCCTAATTCGTACATTATTCGCTGGTCTGACACCAAGTACGAGTATCTCATCCCGAGGCTTGATGGTAGCATTATAGTTGGAGGAGCACGATCGGTGTACTACCATGATCTTGACAGCTGGTACAACAATGTCAACGACGATAAGTTGATTGAGTCTGCGAAGAATTACTTTGATGGATATATGCAGCGTGTCTTTCACGGGTGGGAGGACAGCGGCGCGTATACGTCTAAGGTCTGGACTGGAGGTGAGTTGACATACCCTACTTGTTTAGTGACCTACTAACACTTGGACTAGTGATGGGCTACTCGTCTGATGGCCTGCCCCATGTCGGTGCTGTCCCTGGAAGACAGAATCAGTATATGCTCGCTGGTTTCAACGGACACGGGATGCCGCAGATCTTCCTGTCAGCGAAAGGCGTGGCGTCTATGGTCATGGAGGGCTTGAGCTACGAGAAGACAGGTATACCGAAACTCTACAAGGCTACTCAAGAGAGGCTGGATAGCCCGAACAACACTATACTGGACACTTGGAAAACTGTGCAGAGGAGGGAAGGGGCAAAGTTGTAGAGAGTGCTTTGGAAGCAGGATTTGTACACAAATGTCGATTATCGTGGACTGCATCTTGATCCTGGCTGAACTTGTCGTTACCCTTTAGCAGTATTTGGCTCACTCGTTTACCCCTCAAAGTCAAATCATTTACCGATCATTCGGTACTTACTCCTCACTTTGTGAGATTATATTACTAGACGTCGCTTGCACGAATTACCAAAGAGGTCCTCAGCTCGCGCACAAATGCCATGTAAGTTCATCATGACGGGGCTAAACCCGAAGTAGCAATTTTGATCCGGTGGGTTTGATCGGCAGACCCTTCAGCGCGCAACAGACTGGTATGTTGCAATACTTCCCAATCTATTTTGGTGAATGTTACCCTATCCCGTATCTAAGCTTATTCCCCACTATTGCTACAGAAGTTGATATCACCGAAAGTGCGCCCTCCTCTTACAATCTGATAAAGACGAGAAGAGGGCCGGCATAGTCGATCCGGCTTGATACATGGACTCGTTATCTGGGGAGATTGTCAAGCTTCCATAGCCAATGGTCCAAGGCAAATGAGTATCACCTATCATTATCCGTCGCATAGTGGTTAACAAGTATGAAGCTGAATTTTCCAGGATATGGTGGTTCTGGTTGGTGACACTAGAAACAAGTCTCATTTCTAGCTCACCAGTATTCATCACGTTAAGCTCTGAATAGCTGCATGTTTGATCCCGAATGATATAGACTGGGGTACAAATACATGGGCTTGACCTTCCAATATCGCAATATCGGATAATGACGGGTAGGCATAATAACGGTGACTACTTCTATACAAGCCAAAAAGCTGAGTTGTCCAAATAGTCCTTACTCTGTACTAGCTTCCATCTCTAGTTTGTAGATATACAGAGACTTCTGAAGATTCGCTGAGCGTCTGGAAAGCAGCATAGCTTAGGCTTCAATGAAGGATGATTATGGAACGTATTACGTGACTTTCGACAGGCTCGAAAGTATCGCTCACGTTCGGTGGATGTGATATCCTCGTCTTATCGTACTTCCTGTCGAAGACATCCCAACTGTTGTTCGAAAGATGTCCAAGGTACAGATTCGACGGGTATGTTGTTAATCCGAGATAGTCCTTGGAGGGCGTCGACTTCTGCTCCGTGATAGCCGTCGTCATTTTTCCATAGGCACCTCAAACGCGTCCGGACCGGCCGTTTGTTTAATGTTATCATCGACAGTTGAACCAAGCTGTATTCACCGGGCCGATCACTTATGGTCTTGATCACTTGTTGCAAAGTCAGGGATCAATGAATGATTGATAAGGTTTCATGAAACTTTGATGTCACATGAATACCTTAATACTACACTCTAATGCAGGGAAGATACATCCACATACTCTGATTGATAACGACAAACCTACTATTTAATACCCGTCACAATATCAGCCAAACCCTGTGCAGGAACCATATTGAGCCTTATCTATCTCTTTCAAGTTTCCATCTATCAATAGCACTATCAAAATAACTCAAACATAATGACACCCCCCAACAAAAACGTTATCTTCGATGTAGTCGGCACCCTCGTCAGCTATGAGCATCTTTACGAAGCTATCAAAATTCGCCTGCGAGACAAGCTCTTTCCCCGTGGCATTCAACCCACGCTCCTCGGAATATGCTGGCTAGAAATGGCAGAGCGCGAGTCCACATACTTATCTCTCCACGGCCATTACGTGCACTTCCTCAAGCTTTTTGAAGCTCTATTCTACCGCTATCTTCATTACGCTGGTGTTGAGAATCCCCGCTCTGTTGCAACTGCGGAGGATATTGCTTACTTGATGGACGAGTTCAAGGAGTTGAAGCTTAGGAACGGAGCTGAAGAGTGTGTCCGGAAGCTCCGCGATGCGGGCTTTACGGTCTGGTACTTCACGACTGGTGATATCTTTCGTGTTGCGGAATATTTCGAGAAGGCTGGAGTTGACATGCCGGCTGAGAATCTTCTATCTTGTGATACGGCTGGAGTGGCGAAGCCGTGTTCTGAGGCATATGGGCCTATTTTGAAGAGGCTTTCAACTTCTGAGTCAAAGCCTTGGTTTGCGGCCGCGCATCTTTGGGACGCTTCTGGTGCACAGTCTGCTGGGTAAGTGGTACTCTTCGTGACGCTTTATGTATGGTATGACTAATTGGAGATGCGGTAGGTTCAAGACTTGCTTACAGTATGGTATTGGAAGGTGAACATCTGTATGAGATATATGGAGAGCTGGATGTGATTGCTGAAACGCTACCTGCAAGGGCGGACGGGATTATCGCGGCCAGTAAATGATAGGGACAGCATTTCAGAGTAGCCAACGTTTAGGGTGTTGAAGATACTGTGTTTTAAGGAGCTTAGAGTTGTGATATGCAAAATCTAAAAAAGGCAAACTCTTCTAGGGCTAATAAGTTGCTATTATAATATCTGAATTAAGTATCGCTATCGTGCGCCTTCTAGATAGTGGAGTGAAATTGCGAAGAAGTGGATGTGGTGATTACAATTATTGTTTTGCAAAGTATTATATTCTTATATTGAAACTAAATAAATGAGCGGTGGCCCATGATCATCCTATCATCGCAGTAGACCATTATGCTAAATACTATCAGATATTAGGTAATTCGATCGAGTGATACTCTACAGCTCTCCAGGGAACCGAGGCATCTCGAGGAAGCGCTCAAGATTGACGTTGAAGGTCTTTGGGTCTTGCATGAAACTGTCAAGAGTTATTTGATATCGCATATAAAGGTGCCTTGATGCTGTGACTTACGCAAAGTGGCTGACTCCGGGCAGAAGAAGAAGATCCGAACCCCAGACCTAAAATATCGTTAGCAAAAGAAGAGAAGCTAGCAACGGTTGGTGAACTTACCCAGCTATGGATTTCACCGGGAACGGTGCGATTGACAGCCTCCTCAGTGGCACCATCGACAATCCACATGATGGGGGCATTAGGATCAGAGTATCGCGTAGGAATCGTGGCAAACGACTTTGCATCCCAGTCTGGCAGAGCTGACCACATTGTGTTCATTCTGTCCGAGAATTCTTGGAATGAGCCCTTGGATGGCGTCATCTTCTTCCACTCCGCCTCAGCTCTCTCCAGATACTCGTTGAACACGGGACTATCTCCGATTGTCGAATTGATGTTCGCGGGGCTATAAGTACCGCCGAATGCAAAGGTACGGTCGAGGCGGGAAGTAAAGTTCATTGCGAGGTCGAAAGAAATGCACGCGCCATCAGACCAACCGACAGTTGAGAACTTTTCAATTCCAAGGTGATCCATCAATCCAATGACATCCTCAGTCATGAGATCGTAGGTCAAAGGACGGCTTGTATCATCTGACGAACGACCTTGAGCTCGAGAATCGATTGTGATCAAAGTATAGGGGTGATCCTTGAAATAGCGAATCTGGTTGGCCCAGTAATCACTATTCGCAAAGCCACCGTGGAGGAAAACAACAGGGCTCAGGCCTTTCGCCTTGGTCTCCTTGAGCGGTCTTCCGAATGTCGCGTACCAAAGATCAATGCCGTCAATTGGTGCTGTGCCCTTAAAGTTGGCCTTTGGCATAGGCGGAAGTTCAGGGAGCGTCTGCCATGGCGCAGTATACTCACAAGACTTTTCGGCCTTGGCGTCGAGTTTGATGCTGAGACTTGAGACCATGTTTGCGAGTATTAGCGCTGAAGCTCCGAGGTATGACCAAGAATACATGGTGAAGGTCTGCGTGATGACTGAAGATATACTTGAGTGGTGACGGGGTTGAGCAGTATTGCATAAGTTGTAGGGGCTATGTGGAGCTATTTATCTTTTTTCAACATCCCAGAAACTTAAAAATGCGTGATTCAGTTCCTGACCGCTCGGTTCGCGATTAAACTTTTTGCAGCATGGATAGATGCACGTTGATCGTTCAAGGATGTTTTAGCTGACGTTTTTTGAAAAACGTGTAATAGCGTTACATGGCAGTGTCGTGCTGAAGATCGGCATTAGATGCCGCTGCAAACGAGATTTGATATCACGACATGTTATTGACAGTGAACCATGTTGCCAAGTCTTGAGCTGACGAACGACCCTGAGTTTCGGGAATTGACCTATCAGCAATTAGTGTTCCGACGAATCCGGCCCAGCTATCCCTGTAAGGGTCCTGAATGTGGGGGATTTAAAGAACGACGCTAGTGAACACGGAAAAGGACGGAGAATCCGAGAATTCCTGATAGCTACAGGGTACGAAGTCTAGAAGGCTAGGCTTGGATGATCATTCCATCTTGGTGATAGTATCGAGCTGGCTCTTAAAAGAGGGAACAGTTACCGCGCTATGAGCCTGTTGGAAGCCAATTAAATATGTATGTCATGAGTACTAAAACGGTAGATCATTTGCGCTAACCCGCATACTACTGTATACCTGTGTGGACAATGGTGTGAGTGGATCGCCTACGTGTTATCAAACCTTTGGCAAATATATTCATTGGACAGCACGAGGTTCTGTTTACGGTACTTGATAAATAGTCTCAACTGACATTGCACTAAAACAACTACAAGCTCCCATATCAACAACTATTGAACAGCGGGTGACCGAATGATGTCACGCTTCCGTTAACCCTAGGTTAGTGCAGGTACCTACTCATCACATATCCACGAACAAACAGGGCAAAGGTGCAATTTATCAGCAGGTGGAGCATTATCATTCAAGGCTAATCATTCTAATGGCTTTGTGTAAACCATTGGTGGAAGCTCATTGTCGGGAACCCAGATCAGCTTGTTGATCGTCGCAGATTCACTGGCCCGGAATTCGACCTTCCAGAATGTTGCGCCTTGGTCGCTCCCAACCCATCGACCTCTTCTCGCTAGCTCGTCTCGAGGTTGGAGCCATGTGAACGTATTCTCATGATAGTGAGACATCAAATATCTCTGTTTCCAGACCTTGCATAAGCCAATACAACTTATCTCCGACAAGTTGGACTCCAATCCTGAAGATGTGCAAGTCATCCCAATAGGTGCCGACGTACTCTGTGAATGGCTTTGGTGATGTTCCCGCTTTCCTACCCTTCTCCAGTTCGTCCACCACTCGGGGGTACCACTTGAGATTCTCAGCAACAGCCGCCTCTGCCAGCCCAATAAAGTCGGTTCTGAGCTCTGAAGGTACGTTGACAATCTCCTCAATGATCAGCTGACCGATCCAGTCCGCTGTATCGTTAAGAGCGAGTGAGTTGGTAAGCACCACGGTCACAGTCTCCGTGTCGGGCAAAAGGCCAACAAAGGTGAGTGAGCCAGGAAGGCTTCCCTGGTGGAACAGAACGAGACTAGAGGTGCCTCTACCAATTGTAGGCATACCTTGGGGGAGGAGTGCGGGGTTGAGGCCGATCTGTCCGAAGCGGCCTGGTAGCTGGACTCTTCCCCATCCAAACGCATGCGAGGCCTCGTGCTGTGATGGCTGGTCGAATGGAATCTTTGCAGACATGATGTGGTTCAGTTGCTTGAGGGGTGAGGCATCGTCGGGGGTAGCACTCCCACTGAACTGGGTATTGAAACCTTTGATAAAGCTGCCGTATAGTTTGACCAGGTCTTTGACTGACGAACGTGACCCGCCACTAGCAGCCCCGTGCCCGCCATCGCCCATCTTGAGAAAGTCAATGGGGACCGTGGATGCATTTTCGAGGGCGTTGTAGCATACGGTTACATTGTCGACACTCTTTGGGGGCGTCTGAAAGGAGGTCCTTTCCATTCTCAGAGGGTCCAGAAGGCGGTTTTGCATGAAGTCGAAGTAGGACTGTCCACCGACTTGTTCAATGACAGAGCCAGCTAATTCGTAGTGGAGGTTGTTGTATCGAAATTGAGAACGGAATGGATGCACGAGAGGTCTGTTGTTGATATATTTCATGACGTCTTTAGACCCGAGAAGAATGTTGCCTGTAGTGCCAAGAATGACATTGCCACCCCAGCCCATTCCGGTACGATGACAAAAAATGTCCGTTATGGTAGTGTTATTATGAAGCACAGGATCCACGGAGCGGAAGTCAGGCAGAATGTCCTTGATGAGACTTTCCCATGATACCCGCTTCTCTTCAACTAGGAGACCAATTCCTGCAGCGGTGATGGCCTTGGTTAAAGAACTGCGGTAAAGTTCGGGTTTTAAAAGAAGCTTCAGCCCCCAGGCCACAAAGGTAAAGGACACCAATAAACACATACAGGTAACATACTCGTCACCTACACAATCGCCTAAGATCTTGCTTTTGGTTGGTTAAAGAACAAATCGGGAAGATTGTATCCTCAGTCACAGGGAGATTTTTCTCAACGTCGCGAAAGTCATGATTGTCGTAGAATATCGGATTGTTCTTGGTCATTACACCAATAGCAACACCTGGAGTGCCAGCGATGGCCATCAAGCTCTCAATCGAATGCGACAGGCGGCGAAGTCTGACCGTAATGTCAGCCATTTTGGGTTGTTGTTGCCCTACACATTCAAAGAGTCAACAAGAGAACGATGTGAGCGTCGGTGCAATTGATAAAGTTTGTGCATAATAAAGTCTAGTCATACTCAGTCCTATAGATCTCTATATATAAGAACAAAGTTCCAATACTAAGTTCTGCCAGCTGATTTAAGCCCTCAGCCACAAGCCTCTACTGCAAACAACACATCTAGATAATAACATATGATTGAACCCGGTGGACGCTAGGCCGAGTTTCCGGGCTACTTTTAATTACAATTCAGCATCGAAGAGCTACAGAAGCCGTTGAAAATAAAAGTCCCGGTAGTAACCGACGTACTTAGTCCACAAACACAGAGGAGCTAATTCTATTTCCTCTTAAGGATGCTGATATCAAGGTATCGGAACACTGGAGAATACTTTTGGGAACTCTGCGAAGTCGAGTTTCGGTCGTCTCTCGCCAACACAGAGCTCAAGCGTCAATGTCGCGATGACACCTTCCTCCATGTTCCGAATGACAGGTCAGCTAAAGCTATGTGAAAAGGAGCCACGAACGAACTCAAACAACCACCTATAATCAGGAGTACTAGCACACGCAAAGCGCCCACTGAGGTCATCATATAGACGCATCTCATTCATGAAGACACTGAACGACTTAGAGACAGCGTGTTAAGGCCGGCATAAGCAGCAACAGCGAGTGCCACGATTCCCAAGCATATATCCCCAGTGTCCGATATGCTGCTTGCGGATGACTGATTCTTTCCCGCACCACGCGGAATGATATTAAAAGTCTTGGAAACGGATGACCACGCCGTGACTGCAGGCGCCACGATAGTATCCGCCATGCCGAAGCAGTACTCAAACGGTAGTCCAGTGCTCCATGACAATAAATACGTCAGACCAAGAGAATACACTTCCATAAGCCGGTGGCGTCTTCCAGATCCAAAGCATGGCAGTGTGAGTAGAATGAATCTGTAGACTGCATGCGCGAAAATCCAGCTCTTGGAAGAAGCGGTGAAGACCAAGAGGTTATCATGTAACATGATAGTTTTCCACTGCACTTGATACCCTTGTAGAATAATCCAAGCGGAGAGAGAGAGGCAAGCGGCTTTGCAGCAGATGCCACGGAATGTCCCTCCATAAGGCGTCGCGATCATCATGAAAATATTGCCGTAGACTGCAAAGTTGACGTAAATAGTGAAAGCGTGGAGCCATTCCGCTTTGGTCGGTCTGCTAGCGACGATGAAGAGAAGGACGGAGCCGAGGCCTAGGGGCATAGTGGCCATGGTTTTGGCCATTTCCCCTTTGGTGGAGGTTCGATCGAAGAGGATGATGATGGCGCTGGTGGTGTAGACGATGGTGAGGAGAAGGCCGGGTTTGGAGATAAGGCAGCGGTAAGCGAGGAAGAGGATTCCGCTGAGGGATGCGTTGAAGGGAATGTCGATATACGGCTCAAAAGCCGCGTACATTGATGAGATACTCATGGCGATGCGCCACTTTATTGAGGTCGTTAAACGGTTGGGAAGACAGGTGGCTTGGAGAAGTCTCCGAAATTGAATGCGGCTTCCCCCGCCTGTTCCGTAGTGCGTGCTAACTGCCGACCCGTAAATGCAGGGGTCTGCAAGCTTTGATTCGTCAGTCGAACTCAGGACAAGAGCTCTAGGGTATGGCGTTTTTAATCACTGTAAACATAAAAGGGTTAATGGGCAAATGTCCAGGTCAGTTTGATGCTTCATAAAGAAACTAATGTTGTGGAAGGCTCTAGTCAATAGTTTATCATTCTTTCAAGGATACTGATTTGGGGAAAAAATGTAAGGCGGTCAAAGGTCACGCACCGTACAAAACACCTCTCTGTGATGTGCTGTCTCAATAAGTCTCACAATGGCTAAGGATACAACGACTTTGAACTGTCTCCAACGACCCGATAGAAGCATGGCGATAATTCGAAAAGCTATTCCTTTTGCTAGAGACATCCCAGAGAACGGAGCAGCTTTCTCGCTTTCTGCTACAAAATATGCTGGAACTTGCTCGCCTCCGACTACTATAATCAGTCTTAATTATCTTGTCTCAGCTGCAGCTGGTACGACAGATTGGGCCTGCGCTATCTTACCTGGATTTATGGTCTATAAAACCCAGATGAATACGGCCACCAGAGTTTCAATTAGTATTATTCTTGCATTGGGTGTTCTGTAAGTTGACTCTGGAAGTGTTGTTATGCTAGTTTATTGTGACTCGTACCTTGAATAGCCCTTCATTCGCCACTACTATACGACTTCCATACATTAAATACTATGTTTATCCCCAAGATTATGTTTATAAGTATTATATCGCATCCAACCACTCTTAAATGTATTCAAGAGTACAGATAACGTCGGAAACATCACGCTATGGATCGTCTTTGAGTCAGGCGCGAGTATCATAGCCGGCTCACTCCCCTCTTTACGAAGGCTTCTCAAGAACTGGGTCCATTTCGACTCTCCCCATGACCAGTCCCTGGGACAAACTGGACACTTCATAGGACAGGGAATATCAATAGTCACAGGCAAAGAAAAAGCCCCCTCCACCAGGCGACGAAATAAAGGACTGTTGATCAATTCCAATGCAGAAGGACCGTGGGAGCAGTTGGATGATGCATCTGCAAGTCGAGAGATCTATGTGACTGTTGATATGGAGATACAATCTCTAGAGCGACCGCCGACTTCTTCAAACTCAAGAGAGTCATTTAGGGAGATGTGAAATTCTTCCATGCTGCTACTGTACATAACGTTATACCAATATTACATTTATTTTGGCTATATGATGTTCACACGCACAGGCTCTCGTTGTAGAGGGTAAGTTATTGGGAGATGTGAATATTGCTCTTGCTACGCGGCTATTGAATTATCTGATCAACATATCCTCCCTGATCAGCCAGCGTCTGGCATTATTATTACAATCCTGCCTTATCTAAACTTTATGAAACTCTGTCCTAATAGGATTCAGCTGCACAACAGGCAGACTTGAGCACATTTTGAAATCTAGCTTTAGGAATATCTTATGTCAGTAACAATAGACTTCCGTGCCAATGTGCTGCCGTATCGCTGCTATGAAGATTCAGAACGCTGAGTTGTTTGTGGTGGGTTGTGTTATCTTATCAATCCTTGGCAGTCCACTTTGAGGATCCTTACAGGGGATGTGATGAATATCAGTGGCCAAAGCACTCGGGGATCCAGGCAGCGAAGTGGAGTGTTCTGAAAGCCCTGCTCCTGCTGCCTAAAAAGGATGGGAATACTACCTCAACTCATCAACAACCACGATTTTGCATCTGTTCATCTCTACCAAGACTGATCATATCTTTGTCCATCTTTCACTATGGCCCGAGGTGTACGCAATATGGCCCAGCTGGGAACATACTATCGGACGGCTACTGGGCCTCGAACTGTCCCATTATACGACCCTAAAGGTCCCCGTCTTCCGGAGTGGATAGATATTGGAAGCGTTCATGTCAACTCCAGAGATGCTGACTCTGTCATATTTACACCGCATTGCAGATTCTGGACTGATACCTTAGAGGATGATGACGCGGATGCATCCTGGCGTGAGGACGCCGAAGCTTTCTACTGCTTCAAAACTTCTTATGCCTATAACATGATTGGTGAAGAGCACCCCAGGATCGTGCCGTAAGTCGCCAATTGACTGCCATTTCTCGTGACTAGTGCTAATGTAATTACGAGTGTTATTGGCCAAGACGCTTGGACAGGTCTTCCAATCCTTCCGAAACCGTCATATAGCAATCTTGATCACTTCCTTGGGAACTACGGTACTCAACTCTTCGCTTCGCAAGAGGGTTGTGCACCTCCAAATCGCCGTCTGAAGCCGGAGTTCAGACCTCTGGCCTACCAGTGGAGCTTGCAGCTACTTTCAGCCCTCTCGCTGATCCATTCTCGTGGTATTGCCTACGGTGAAATCACCGAGGAGAACTGTTGGCTCACCACAGGGTCTCTATCAATCGCGCTGGCAGGCTTTATAGGTGCTGACTTCCAGGACCCAAGCAATGGTTGGAACCTTCCCGGTCACTTCTACAGCGGCATTGAGTTTTCGCCGGACCACCTCCCTTGGGAGCGAAGGGAGAAGTATCCGACTCGCAAAACCGACATGTTCGTGTTTGGAAGATTGGTATATGAGTTCATGACTTCTCAAATGCCCGGTAACGGTTTAGGAAGAGATTGGGGCGAGACTGAACGCTTGGTGGAGGAGGAAGACTGGATGCCTGATCTTGAGGATGAGTTTATGGGGAAGATTGTTCACAAGTGCTGGAAGCTTGAGTATGAGGATGTTGAAGAGCTTCAGCGTGAGGTGCAGGCTTTCATTGAAGCACAGGGTTGGTCTATTAAGGGAGATGAACTGGAGGGTTTTGACGCTAACAGTATTCAACGCGAGCTTGAGGCAAATTTCGTCCCGACAGAAGAGGAATAGACGTCTATTGGATTTTGCTGGTAAAAGTTATTTATTAATGTCAGCTTTCTAGGCAACTCCCCTAAGACTAGGTTCATAAAGGTTATAAACGACTGGCTATTACTTAGTTATTTTAGACAGTTTATTAAAAGTTTCTAGAGTATCCTTGACCTCCTTAAGTCTGGTCAAAGACACGGAAGACTGAATTACAGCTACCAGAATGCTCCTACCCTCTTAACTACATGAGAACAAAATCGGATAAAGAAGCCTCCCAGGCCTGAACATCATCGCCTACAGCTTCGCCGTCCATCAGCCCATAGACATAGCAAGTTCCCACAAGCTGGAAACTGTTGCCTTTAGGACGCAATATCATGGGGAGACGAACTCCTGGAAAGACACAAATTAGATCGCTGCTCTCTACCATCAAGGGTCCCAAGCCATAGTATCCTGTAGTTGTTTGGAAGAGACATGTGTCCTTTATGTTGCGCCTAGACACAAGAAGGAACTCTTCCCATCCATCAGTCTCGCCCGCTTTATATGTGTTCCAAAATTCCTCTGCACTGGTGATGTTCACAATGACCTCTTGCCAGGACCGTGGTGGCCCTTCGACTTGCCACTGTCTAAGAATACGGTCTCTGAGAGACTGTTCAGTTTCGTCATTGCTGGACTTGCGCAGCTCTGCAAATTTGTGCCTGGTGAGGTCGTGAATAAAACGCCGTTTCCACATGAATTCATCGTTCGTCGATATGCTCAAAACTGACAAGGGACGATCACTACCAGGCCAACGCCCCATGAGTACCGTGCGGAACAGCAGGTCTAAGAGTGGGATCCTCATCGGATGTTCCTTGGCTTGATGCCTCGCTGACATGGCATCTGCTATGCGGGGTAAATCTCCGTAGAAGGTTTTCTCGGCAATAGGTAAAGGCCAGGTTTGAGTGATCTTGTCACATATATGCCCTCGCAAGTGTAGGAAACTCCCATCAATGGATTTAACTGCGTTTTCCAGTCTCGTTCTGCCACAAGCTTGAAATGAACATCCGGATCCGGTCAATGCGTTTGACAATGGTCGAAGCTTTTGGATGTTAGGGACCCAGGATGGGGCCGGAAAAGGCGTTTGTGTGCAAGTCTCGTACCCAATACCTGCCCATACCACAGGCACCATCGTACAGCTCAGAGGGTTAGGCGAGGAGTTCTGGGCGCAAGCCCATCGTATCCAGCCACTGGCATAATCGTGATAGATTTGGTGAAGAGGCTTCGAATAATCGACCACAATACTTGCTTGTGAAACCCCAAGCAGGCCGTAGATAAGATCTCTGGGATTTGATGCCTCGAGTCGCCACTGAAGTTCCAGGCGATTGTATAACGAAGGTATGGTGCCCTTTGCCATCTGCTGCCTGTCATGGCGTACGAGCACAACTTGATGCATAGGTAGAGAAGTGAGCTTTGACCAAAGAGAAGGAGAAAAGTAGAGCGGCGGTTGGTCATCCCTCCTGAGCATGAGGTCGGTCCCGAAAGCAGCTAAGCAAAGGTCTTGCCAGCTAATAGACTTTTCTCCGCAGTGCAAGTGGAGATTCGAGGCGAGTACCAGCTCTTGGTATATCCAGACACGACTCCAGTAGGGCCTTTTAAAGATCTGCGTAATGGCATCCCACGCACGATTTTGAAAGGAAGAGAGCTCTTGCGTGTCTTCTGTCCACAGTTCCGGTAAATGGCGGAGCCAATTAGGGCCATCCAGGGCCTTGCCGAAATCGTCCATGCTTGCTGCTATTTCTTCTTCAGTCTCAACGATCTGGACCCGCAAAGTTCCCATCATGGTACATCGCGACTCCTCTTCATCGCTGCTGGTCTCACCATCAGCAATGGAGCTTCCATCTCCATCCCGCGGATCCTGTTCTTGTTTGATCGCAGTCGCCATTTTATTGAGAATGTCTATCGCGTGGTCGCTGTCGTGGTCGCTTGCGCCTAACCACGCGAGAACCTTGTATGCATTCTGATATATCGCGCCCATGAGCTGAATCTGGACTGATTTCTCTTCCTCGTTTGCCTGGTCGATGCACAGAGCATCTGCCCAGATAACAACTGGCTTATCTGGTAATCTGGCACAACGCAGCGCGTACGCGAGATTGACAGTCACAGCAACTTCGTGCCCATCCACTGCCATGGACTGAGTGTTTTTCGCATCGCCCCACACGTATGACAAAGCTAGGTACGCTGGGCGGAGATCGAGTGATATAGGATGGAGACTTCCATCTAGTTTTGTAAGAGGACTTGCTGACGGTTGAAGAATAAGCAGTCTAACAGTGCGGTTTGGGTGCTCCAGTGGCCTATAAAGTGGCGATTGACAGGTCTGAAGTGTCGCGGAGGCATCCATTCTCTTTTCGTTCCTTTGCAATAATATTTAGATGTTGAGTTCTGATGCAGAAGATAATTAGGGAGATGGAATTTTTTATATATATAATATAATTATTAGACCTAGTTTGCTTTAATATTAAGCGAGGCAGTGTAAAGTAAGGCAGTGTGAAGTGGGGTAGTGTAAAGTGAGGCAGTGTAAAGTGAGGCAGTGTACTCTGTAATGTAAGGCAGTGTAAAGTAGGGCAGTATAAAGTAAGGCTGTTTAATTGTAATTGTAATTTTATTAATATGCTGCTTATTCGAAGAAATACATATTAGACTTGATAGTCATTCTTCCCCTCTTAAAAAACTCCATGAACGCCTCTCCTTCACCATGCGTTTGTCCCTACTTACTTTTGCCTGCAGCCTGTATCTGATTGCAGATGCATTGCATCTCTATGGTAGTGAAGGTAGCAGTTTCAACGTTCAGTCTGAGGCCTACATTAAAGCCCTTACGGCCGAAATTGATTGCAACAAATACGTCTCTTATTATAGCTATGGTTAGTTTCCAGCGCTCAAAGACGATGATGGCAATGAACTCACAAATGACATGTGCACCAAGACCTGCTCCTGATCACTGAAGACCTTCAATACCGCGGTTCACCAGGAATGCGGTCTTGAAGATTTGATCGCCCCTGGTGATAATATTTGGCGATCTTGGAACTTGACTTGTGACACGGATGCTGGAACAGGAAGATACTGCACTGGTTGGTCTTCGAAAAAAGTTTGACAAGTGTTTTATACTGACCTTTTGTTAAGAGATCATCGATGAATTTATGCATGAATTAGGCCCTCGCGACATCGTTCCCACCAAGGATCTCTGTAGACCTTGTCATATCAGACACAATTTTAACTTGGAACTCGGCTTGCCCAATTTTAAATCTACCGGCTTTGACCCTAAGAAGAAGCGCTACTTCAAAGATTTGCGTGCACTCGTTTACATGGAATGTCCCAAGGAAGCCCTGGCAGAGAGCTTTGCGCCAATTTCCCAAGAAGGGCCTTCGAATACAACGGAGTCAGCGCAAGAGACCTCGACAATGAGCGATACAGGTTCAAACACTGCAACCACTGCGGCCACTGCGACCACTGCGACCACTGCGGCAACAAGGAGTACTGTCACCATAACATCTTCCCCGTCAACAGAACGTAACAGGGCTAAGAAGTTTGAGCCAGGATACATCTTTAGTTATTGGGCTCCGGTACTTATGTTGTTCTGATCTTGATTGGCGTTTGCAATTAGCACATGATTGTTGAAGCTATTGTTAATAGTTTATATAAAGTTATCAGAAAGACTTGTCTTAGATAAAAATACTATAGATTTAAAGCTCTGGCCTATCTGATAATTAGACTCAGTGCGCTTCCTGGCAAACTCGGGACTTGTAGTTACAAGACGCATTTCCCTTAAAGGAATTTCCTGGTCCTGTACAGCAAGATACCTATATCCCTCACAGGTTTCGGTACCCGAAAGCTAGCAGATGGTCCTGACGAAAATTTAGGTCAGCTTTCTTAATTCCAAAGCGATTGGTTGTACCAGCGTTCAACTAACCTGATCCATAAATGCTTGAGTCCCTGTACAAAACTTAGCATCCACGGATGCAGGAGCCATTGCAGCATCGAATGCCTTGGATACAAGCAGAGCATCCCGCCTGACGAATAGCAAGCTCGAACTCATCGCGAGAAACAAGCTTGCCGGATATCTCGACTTCAGGCTCAGGAAGAGCAGCGGCCATGGCAGTAGCCACGGAGGTGATTATGAGGAAGATGGTAGAGAACTTCATTGCAGAGATGGAGAAAGTTGAATGAGATGAGTGACTGATGATGAAGGCTTGGGAGAAAAAGGGGGCTTTGCCAGCCTTTTATAGACCAACACTAGGATCCTATGATGCTGGCTTTATATGAGCTATTAATGGTAGCAGGGGTTGCTTCCTTCAGATAATCTGATTAGATGATCAGATAACTCAAGCATCTTCCCGCGCCATACCAATGCATGCTCCAACGAAGCGAGTTCCGTATCCTGACCTATTAGTTGTAAGAATTAGAGCAAGCAGTGGAGCTTTATGTAACATAAGCTTCCTTTTATGGGCCTTCTTCGTAAATATCACTGCCAAGCAAGCTACGGAAGCTGACCATTACCCTCATGTACGTCTTGCTTCGGACCATCGCTGTCGTGGCCGGAGAAGATCCCCAAAGCGGCTGGCAATGTGATAAACTTTCAGTTGGCAACTGTACTTTCCCGCGGCGATATGTCCAGAAATCGCTGGGGTTTGAGTCGTGTACCCACCGTCCGATGAGGCGCAAGGAGGCCAATACTCGACAACTTCACAGTTTCTTGGGGCTATTCTGGGCTGCTTGGCACATAAGAGTCGGACTTGTTCTACCATATGTCGGATCCCCGGATGTGGCCAATCTAGCGACCAACGGGTGAGTAAAGGGGCCGAAAGTATCCGCAAGTCAACACTCACGCTTGACAGGTTTGAGATCCTACACCTGCCTACTAGGGGTTAGCAAGAGTTGGAACGTGGAAAACTCCCACGTCTCGTACGGTATTCCGATCCATGGTAGTCAGGTAAGGTGAAAAGGTGTTCTATTTGCCTGGGTTAAGCACCATTGGCAGCTTATTATATCTTGAGCCTGGCGTTTTGAGGTACTATGGATCAAACAACAGTCGCCATGGCATGTGAATACGCTTTCTTATGATAATCTATTTCTCAGTCCCGATACTACTGCTTAGGTCGCAGTACAGGTTCAGACTGTGGAGGATGAACCTCTTCACGCCACTATTTTATACCCAAGGTCTCAGGCTTAGGACGAATGGAAGGCCTGACAAACGCCTTGATCAACTTCTTAACGCCTGCCACTCTCAAGCTCGACGGGGGCGTCCTCCTGAGCCTCCTTTTGCTTAATCGCCCACGCAAGCTCCTTATCAGCCTGCGCCGCTCTCTTCTCATCCTCAGCTCCAAGCTTAACGTTGCGAACCAGATAAACCATAATCAAGAGAAGACCCGACACGCAGACAGATCCGATAGCGAGAGTCTGCTGAGTTTCACGGTAGCACTCATCAACAGCGTTTCTATCAGCAGTTCCAACCTCGTATGCACGCGCGACAACGATACTGCCAAATATCTTGCCGCCTTCCTCTTTACCAAAGTACGAATTGAGCTTTCGGGGAAGAACAGAGTTCCAGATAGCGCCGCTGATGGTGACGCCGAGATTGGAGCCGAAGCCGAGGGATGAGAGGAAGACAGCTGTTGCGATACCAACTTGCTCGTTTTCAAGGACGGCTTGCAGCGATACTTGGAGTGGGACTTGGGTAAAGCCACGACCAACTCCGAGAAGGGACTTGGATGTGATGAAAGCGGCTTCGCTGGCAATGTGGGTGCCGGAGATGTTGGTGAGATAGATGGGAAGACCGCAGGCGAGAATTATAAGAACAACGCCGAGCATGATGAAGGGCTTTGTGTTCTTGGCGAACTTGAGGGAAAGACCAGCGACGAGTGCACCGATGTTGTAAGCCACGCGCTGGGCGTTGTCAACACGTGTTGCGGCGCCGGGTGAGTAATGCCCTGCGACTTGCAAGAAGCTTGAGAGGAAGGGTCGGTAGATGCTATCAGCCATTGCGATGACGATACACGATGCGCACGCGACAATGACATTGCGCTCGCGAATAGTTCGGTAGGGGATAATCGGGTTCGACGCGAATCTACCGTCCCAGACTAAAAACGCGATAAAGGTCAAAACACCAACGATGATAAGAACGATAGATGAAGGTCGACTCCATCGATCGGTATTATTCCTCCCCGCAATGGTCATCGGCAACAGCGTCATAGCAAGACCACCAATGAGGAGAAGAGCACCGATCAAATCAAGCTGCGTAGCAACATGCTTAATCTTGCCCACAACACCAGGCTCCGCACCATGCATGAATGAAATCTTCTCGGTGATGAGGCCGATGCGCTTAGCACGACGGTTCATCCAGATCATGATTCCAATGGTGGGGATGGCAGTGACGGGGAGTATGATAGCCCACATGCCGTATCCCCATCTCCAGCTTGAGTGCAGGAGCATGTGTTCACCGAGATATGTTCCGCCGTAGAGGGTTGGGATTGCGGAGAGGGATTCGGGGAGGGTGAAGATTATACCGCGGTTGACGAGGGTTGTGATGTCTGCGACGAAGATCTGTTGGATGATGTTCCACCATGTATCGCCAAAGACGTCGAAAATTCCACCTGCCTTTTACTTGTTAGCCAGGGGAACTGAGTTAGGGAGAGGGTGAGTACCAAGAAAGTGTCGACGTTGGAGCAACCTGCGTACATAGCGTTGCCGATAGCCATGCAAATAGCAGCACCAGCAAAGCTCTGCGGACGACCAAAATACTACACCAATTAGCCAAATCCCAAGCCATCAATTGCAACAAAATCTTACGTTGGCAAGCTTAGCGAGCAGTGGATACGAAACAATGCGCACAAGGCCATTGACAATCGCACCAGTCGCCAGAAGCGAATGCGCCTTGAAATGGCTCGTCGCATACGGCTCGTACACATTACCCGTATAAACCGTCAAGTTCATAAAGAAGAACATGACAAGAATACTGCCCAAATTAGCCTCACCAAACACCAACGAGAGTAACAATAAACTTACCATCCAATGGCGAAACCGAGGGTCCGTTTTGTCCATAGCTTTCTAAAAGCCTCATTCGTAGAACCAGGTCTCGAAATCTCCTCCTCCACGACCTCTCCACTCTTTCGCTCTGTATTATCAGCCATTTTGCCGACTTGCGATATCCAAGCCAGTACTCAAAAAGGTGAGATATTTCCCTCAAAGATTCTGGAAAGACGGCGCCTTAAGTGTCAAACAATCCCCTCAAACCCACGGCACTTATTTCCTAATCCACTCACTTACCACGATGATCCTTTCTTATAACGGGCAAGAAAGCTGATTGATAGCGAGTCTTGGCGTGGACCCCTTCCTCGAATTAACCTTGCTTTTAAGCATCCCATCACACGCTAAGTACGTAAATACGGTATTTAACTTTTGAGTTAGGCTGTTTTTGGGATTGTCCGCTGTTGGCGAGATGAACAAGTGCTGGGGTGTTGGTTATCAGACCGTTGAGATCTTATCTGATCCTGTCAGAGATTGGTCGGTCGGTTAAGGGGTTCCACTGAGAAATGGGCTGATGATGGGTTGGGTTTTTTTAGTTTGTTGGAGCTAGGATGGAAGTGGGTGAAGGGCCTTGGCGGTGGTGATTCCGCTGTTGCGGATTTGGGTACCGATGGGTTGGAATGGGACGGGATTTGTCCGAGGGAGATGCTTAGCAGGTAGGAGCTATTGATCAGCGTGTCATTGCTTGCGAGACGGGACTCTGCATTGTTGCAGAGATTGATGTCACCTTTGATATACTGTTGCACTGATAGCCCGGGCTGGTTGATGCCACTGCAAGTGACTGGCTGAAAGAGAGAGATGATAGAATAACGAAAGATTGAAATTGATGGCTAGCAGTAACCGTGAACCATATGCTGTCCCAAATGCAATCTGAAGAACCTGGCATATCGTGAACCCTCCATCCCCAGATCCAAATATCTCAAACTCTAACCCTTTGCAATCTTCTCGGCCTCCTCCGTAGCCTCACTAACAATCTCATCAGCCTCATCCTTCGTAAACGCATCCGTAAACTTGACCCAACTCCCATGCGCAAGCCCCGTCCCCGCGCCAATGAGCAACCCCAGCCCAGCCGTCGGAATCGCCACGACCCCCGTCAACAGCGCCCCGACTCCCAGCCCCAGCCCACTCGCCACACCCGCACCTATCCCCGTCCCCATCGCACCGCCCTGTATCCATCCCTTTTCTAGTCTCTCAGCAATCTTCATGAGCTTAGCCGCCTTTTTATCAATCTCTCGTGCTTCATGCCGTATATTCTCCGCTTCTTCGGGGTCTTCTGTACTATCGGCTTTTTCATGGAGCTCGAGGGATTTTTGTTGCAGGCCTTTTGCTTCTTCGACGCGTGTGTGGATTTCTTTGGCGATGCGCTCTTGGGTGTTGGATTTGCTCTCCGATGGGGCTGCGCCGTCGGCGGGGGTGTTCTGGGAACCCATGAATTGGCTTGGGATTGCGCCGGAGAAGATTGATCCTAGTGCTTCGTTCATAGGGAAGTATTGAAGTGTGACTTTTGGGAAAGATGGGGTTTTATGATGTGGCTTGATGAGGTTGATGAGCTAGGAAACCTGGTTTGTTTTATGAAGCTTGTAGTTAGGTGGGGGTGGCGGATGACGTAGTATCGTGATCTACGTATGTCGATGCAGGTAATCGTTGCTATGATGCTATAATATCGTTGTATGCATCATTTACGAGATTCGCGTCTCACAGCATTGACAATATCAAGTTTGATGAAGATGGCTTCGGGTCATCGCAATTTTGTGTCGCATGGATGACCTACGCAGGAGTTCAATAATGAATTACGCGTTGTAACCCTTGAACTGAAGACCGCATGTGAATGATGACCGATCTCACAATATCAAACTGCGCCACGACATATCATGGACTTCACGTAGCTCATCTAACTAATAAAACTATACCATCCCATGAGCTCAGTTGTTATTGATTTCAGATGACTTAGCACGATATTCATCCTGCAACGTCCCGAGGCCTGCAATCATGAACTTCGAGTTCAGCTACCCTAGATCTTATCGCGAATGGTTGTCTGCTTATCTAACCCGTCTCAAACCCTCATGATTGGCCAAGATCAGCCGTCATCATCCCTTTCCCATCCCTTGCACCCCAAGATCGATCTCCATCGCAACATAAACCTGTCCTTTCAACCCCCACTCATTCATTTATCTACTTTACCACTACGCTCATTTCCTCAATTAATTTACTCCATCAAAATGTCATCGCGAAGCCTGGGCTCCACATCCCCCGAATCGGGCGCGTCATCCCACGACCAACACCCACTAATGAATCTCGTCGACGGCGAAGAAGCGCGCGGGCGAAGTCACCCAGAAAGCGCAGCAGCTGATTTAATGAGGCGACTTGGTGTTTCGCCTGAAAGAAGGATCAAAGTCACGCCCGAGGACGATGCGCGCGTTTTGAAGCGTATTGACATGGTTGTTCTACCTCTAATGCTAGCAGTTTATTTCCTCCAAGGTAATATCTCACATAACCCTTCACGAAATGATACTAACATCTTCAGGTCTTGATAAAGCGACCATCGCATATGCTTCCATCTTCGGGCTTATCGAAGACACGAATCTAAAGGGGAATCAATTCTCATGGCTCAGCTCAATAGTCTACGTCGCCCAGCTCATCGCGCAATTCCCGCTAGCGTGGCTTCTCGTCAAACTCCCCATTGGGAAATTCACAAGCTGCATGGTCACCCTCTGGGGCTTGACTCTCACATTCATGGCGGCGGCGCATACCTTTCACAGTTTGCTTTTCGCACGTTTCTGGCTTGGTGCTTTTGAGGCTAGTATTGCGCCGAGTTTTGTGGCTATTACGCAGATGTTTTGGAGGAGGAGGGAGCAGCCGCTTAGAATGTCGTATTGGTATGCTATGAATGGATTCACTGGTGTTGTAAGTAGAAACACTTGATGAGGTTGGAATGAACTGACGGGCTTAGTTTGGGAGTTTGGCGACGTGGTGGCTTGCACAGCTGCCGTTTGGGCTGAAACCATATCAGGTGAGCGAGCCTTCTCTATGATATGAGGTTTACTGACGTGTCAGACTATCTTTGTCGCTTTTGGAATTATCACCGTCTGCTTCTCCACCGTTCTATTCTCATACATGCCCGACTCGCCAGCGGAGGCCAAATTCCTCGATAAGCACGATAAACTCATCGCCATTGAACGGCTGAGGATGAATCAAACGGGTGTCATGTCGCGACAATGGCGATGGGATCATTTCTGGGAGACTATGCGAGATTTGAAGACTTGGCTTTGGTTCTCTCTCATTTTCAGCATTTCGTACGTATTCCATCTTCCGTACAGGATCACTTGCTGACATGCTCATCTATAGAGTACCCTCTGGTGGCGTCGGCTCCTTTGGCCCTCTCCTCATCAAATCCTTTGGCTTCGATTCTTTCCAGGCCATTCTCTTCAATGCCCCTTTTGGCGTTGTCCAGTTCATTTCTACAGTTGGAGGTTCGTATGTAGCGACCAAGTATCATAAAAAAGGTCCAGTCATTGCGTTCCTGGCTCTGTTTCCAATTATTGGCTGCATGATCATGCTCTCAACGCCGCATACACCTGATGGCAGGAATACTCTGCTAGGCGGATACTACATGATCTCCGTCTTCCCAGGAATAAGTCAGTCTCTTCCCACTACATCTTCTTCACTCACTGACTTTACAGTTCCTCTAATCTACTCATGGTCATCCTCCAACACCGCAGGCGACACCAAGGGCAAATGCAACTCATCAGTCCTCTTCATCGGCCAATCCCTCGGAAACATCATCGGCCCCTTGCTCTACAAACCATCCGAAGCACCCGAGTACCACAGAGGCTTATACTGGAACTTGCTTCTCTACATCGCAATTGTAGGTCTTGTGGTTGTCACGACCATGTATCTGACCTACCTGAATCGCGATCACAGTCGTCGTCGCGTGATGGCGGGGAAGGATGCAGTTATTGTGGACTACAGCTTGTATTCACCTGAAGAAGCTGATCGTCTTCGAAGATCCAAGGCTACTGAGGGTCAGCATATTGAAAATGCGAGGGATACGACGGTTGGGGATCATGCGTTTGATGATATGACGGATTTGGTCAACGATGAATTTGTATTTGTATTCTAAATCAATTAGGGGAGCAATATCTCCATAGAAGCTGTTTGCGGTGCTGATTTCAAAGCGAGGTATCTCTAAAAAAATATTCCAGACCATCTATACACCCAACCTCCAGATCATGCAAATCGGTCTTCTTCCCGCGACCAACATTCAGACCCATTGTTGATCTCAACATCGTGAGGCTTTTGATCCAATTCGGTGTCAAAAATAGCGACCGACTTGATTTACAGTGGAAACTAGTCCCCCAAATCCCCAAAATCATCCAACGAGTTGTAACGACGAATGCCACGAATCTTGATATTCCAATGTAACTGGCCTAATCAGGCCCGATCTGCACTCCAGCTAAGCAACCCTCTCCACCTCTCATATGCTGACATGTTGTAACGTCCCTCGTTCGGCAAATACTCCCCCGAATCAACGCGGGGTATCTCACTCTGAGTAATCCGACGTCGGATTACCTCTTGGGGTATTTATACACCTTGTTGTCCATGAGGGGTTCATCTTCATCGTCACTCTTCCACTAAATTTTGGACTTTCATCATGGCTACTACTCAAGTTAAGCGCTATGTCATTGTTGGCATGGGCGTTCGCTCGGCTATGTACTACCAAGCTATCATCCAAGACTTTAAAGATGTCGCTAAGCTTGTTGGTATCTGCGACACGAACCAGACTCGCATGGACGTAGCAAACGAGCACATCGTCGAACTCGGCGGTGAAAAAGTACGGACGTACAAAGACACAGACTTTGATAAAATGGTCCAAGAGCAAAAAGCCGATGTTGTCATCGTCACGACTATTGATCTGTTCCATCATCACTACTGCATTCGAGCTATGGAGCTAGGCTGCGACGCCATTACGGAAAAACCAATGACTATCGATGAGCATAAACTCCAAGCTATGATCGACGCGGAGAAGAAGACGGGGAAACAAGTCCGCGTTCTTTTCAACTATCGGTATGCGCCGCATCATACTAAAGTCAGAGAACTCATCGACTCCGGCGTCATCGGCGAGATTTCAACAGTTCACATGGACTGGATCCTCGACTGTGCGCACGGCGCAGATTTCATGCGTCGCTGGCATAGACATAAAGAAACCAGCGGCGGTATTCAGATGCACAAGTCAATTCATCACTTTGACCTTGTGCATTTCTGGCTTAACACTGAACCTGAGCTTGTCTACTGCCTCGGCGATCTTCGTTTCTACGGTAAAGAAAACGCTGAGCGGCGTGGGGAGAAGAACCTCGGTGAGAGGTATAAGAACAATGAAAATGCCAAGAACGACCCCTTTGCGTTTCAGCTTGATGAGAATGAACGGATGAAGAAGTTGTATCTTGACGCTGAGCATGAAGACGGCTACATCCGCGACAGGAACTGTTTCGCAGAGGGGATCACAATCGAGGATAACCTCTCCATGATAATCAAGTACAAGAACCGCGCGGTGATGACATACAACACATACGCCTACGCCCCATGGGAAGGATACCGCTGTGTCTTCAACGGAAGCAAGGGCCGCATCGAAGTCAACGTCGTTGAGAGCGGGTACAACCCCCTCGGCGACCCTGTAACGAAGGATGCGTCGGGAGAAGATGAGAAGTATATCCAGGGTGGAGTTGAACAGACCAAGATTGTGGTCTATCCGCTGTTTGATAAGCCGTATGTTGTTGATGTTGTGAAGACGGAGGGGGGGCATGGAGGCGGTGATCCTGTTTTGTTGAAGGATGTCCTTTTGGGAGGGGAGGTTGATAATTTTAAGAGGGCAGCTAATATTCGGGATGGAGGGAATGCGGTGCTGGTGGGTGTTGGGGCGAATCATAGTATGAAGAGCGGTATGCCTGTCAAGGTTCAGGAGTTGGTCAAGTGGTAGGCAGATAGTCAACAATCACGAACATAAATCTCAGTTGATGAAAACAAGTGCTTTTATAATCCTTCCCAGTATAATACATACGCTCAAAAAGAATCCATAACCATATTATTCGCTGCACCCTCCTTTCCATTCCCTTCATAAGTCTTATCATTCATTTCCCCCATCAGTCCGTTAAACATATCCCCCATCCCAACCTCCTCCACCTGTCCCCCAGCCTGATCAGGCGGAGACCCCAATAAATCATAAGGCCAAAACGGAACGCCGCCAAAATCATTAAAATGCGTTGAATCCATCAAAGACATATCGCTAAAATCCAGCGGTGGAATATTCGTAATCTCGCATAACGCTGCTGTCAGATCAGCGGGGAAGGGTTGTTTATTGTTGAAGAAGGCTTCTTGGTCGATGGTACGTAAATCTTGAGTTTGTGTGTTGTTAGAGAGGAGATTGTTGTGATCCATAAAGTCTGTTAGATTGTCGGGGATGAGATGTTTGTTCATAGCGGAGAAACGCTTCATTGATTGTTCGTCGACCGTTGGCATGGACGTAGCTTGAGATCTGGAGCTCAACCCACGACCTGTTTTTCGTAGAGATGGGGGAAAATCGCATTCGTCTGGGAGTCTGCCGTTGCTAATACTCATATCGAGCGTCATGACGAGTCGTAGATAATAACTCGGTCGTGTTTTGAGCATGTCGAGACAACTGCTCGGTGAAGAATCGTCATCGGTGGACATTGGCGCAGGTGATCGTTGTCTGGCTAGTTCAACGACATGTCGAATAGCTCGCATGACCCAGTCTGTGATGTAGTATTTCTTTTTGTAGCTCTTCATCTGTTTGAGGATGTTTTCGACGTGTTGTTCTTTTTGGGTGAGCTTGACGCCTTCTTCTGGTGAAGATGCTTTTTTGGGGCGAAGAAGCTCGACGTCGATCATTTGGAGGGCTAGTGGGAAGGCCGTGCATCCGATGCTGCAAAATTGTTAGTGATGAGTTGAGGGTTTGTGAGGGACGACTTACGCAGTCATTGGGAGCCAGCGTGATAACCCTAGACGGTCGAATTCGAGAAGACATTCTGTCACGCGCGATGCTGAGCCTTGTAGATCTTCGCTTTGTCGTCGGAGTTGGGTATCGGATTGAGATGGCGGTAATAAACTCGATCGAAGAATGTTGTAATGGCAGACTGAAAGTCTCGCTGAGCTGTTCAAGTCAGTACATATAATCCATATCTTGCCATCGAGACTCACTGATAATACATCTCAATGAGATTCTTGAACAAGATAATCGACGAAGAAGGTGAAATCTCCTCAGCCATCCTCTCATCCAACGTCGTCTTCGTCTCACTCCACGAACTATACCACCGACAGAGCTCCATCTGACACAAACTCGCATCCTTCCCAACCTCCATCCTCCCCGAAAGCATCCAACTCGGATTATTATAAAGCACACTCGTAACCGTCAAAACATCCGTCAGCACCACACAAAGATCCACCAGCCTCGAAAGCAACTCCGCATGCAACGTCTTGGTCGTAGAGTCATAAACATCAGAATTATAAAGCTCATCGCATAAATCCGCACTTCCCAACTTTGAGCATGAAAAGCTGAAATTTGAGGGTGTGATCTTTATGCTCTGGCGGGATGTTAGGGGGAGGAGGCGGTCGCAGATGATGCAGCACCACCAGAGTCGCTTGAGCGTGTTGCGTAGTTTTTGCACCTTGGCTACTTCGGTGTCTTTGTTGGGGCGGAGGGAGGAGTAGCAGTGTGCTTTGGAGACGCGGGCGTAGGATATTGCGATGCCGAGCCAGATTGAGCCGAGGGGCTTGTTGCCTGCTATGCAGCGGGGGATGAGGTGTGTGTGCGCGAGGAGGAGGGAGGCTTGGGCTATGGCGATGCAGGACTTTTCGACGCTGAAGTCATAGAGGAGCTGTATTCGTTAGCCACGTTCTATACACATCCAGGATGGAGGGCATACCTTTGATCGACGATAAAAAGCGAGTTTGGCTTGATGCACATCCTCAAAGCCCAACATCTTAATCGTATCCGACGAAACAAACTAAACCCGTCAGCTTCAATCCCATGCTTCGATTGAATGTCTTACCCCCGAAGAAATAAACAATATCCCCTGCAGAACCAACATCGGCATCTCATACTCGACATCATTATCCACCGAATTATACGAAAGCCAAAAATCCTTCTCATTCAATATCGGAAGCATCGGATGTACATGCAGAAAATACTGCCTCAGAAAATCATCCAGCGCCGCGCGCTGAGGGACTACAAAACATCCTTGACTAACAAGGAATGCTAAATCCTGCGGGAGCAAGTCTTTTGTGTCGGGGACTTGGAGGAATGCGTAATCGGGATGCGTCGGCGATCCAGCGCTGAAGTTTGGCGGTTGTTGTTGTGAGTTTTGGGTGATTGTCGTAGGCGCGGGGAGAATGTTTCGGGGTTCGGATGTCGTAGTGGCTGATTCGACTGATCGCGGCGTCGGGGGATCGTTTGGTCGTAGTGAAGGTGTCGTTGATCTGGTGATTTAGTTAGAAGGAATTTGTAGGGGAAGATGAGGCGTACATTATTCCATGGCGACGCTTGAATGTGCAGACTTTGTCGTTGTGTCTGCAATTGACACAGGGACCAGCCGGATTCTCAATGATGCACCGCACTTTTCGCGCCCGACATAGATTACAAGCTCTCGAGACTCGTTTCCTCATGGTTTTTGTGGACTGCATTTTCCCAACAATCCTAAAACTGAGGTAGCAAAAAAGGTCGTTCTAGGTGGTGATGATGCTGGATCAAAGTTGTCAACTCGCAACCCTCGGATTGAAAAGCAAGACGTCAGCTGCCCCCGGGATCCGATGGCATTTGCCGACGCTCTTCCCCACAGAATGGAGATCAATCCCCGCAAAGATTTGACTGGTTTGGCAGACGCTAGAACGGTGTGAGCTAAGCGGTTTGAGGGTCGAGACGCCGGAGCCAAAGCTAGCCAAGGGAGCTATTGGATGTGTAATTGGCTTAGCTGAAGCGAGAGGACCAATCTTGGGGTTAGACCGTCATCCTTTCTTTGTGATTTGATGGTGGAATGTTGTGAAGAAGATCTAGCAGAATATATACTGGAGATCAATTGATGTCAGGCACGTTAATTGAGCTCAGTATTCGTCAGAGGTTATTGCGTTGATCAGTGTTGCAATGGAGAATAGGCTAAGCGATGTGTACAGACTGGGAATAGCTTCATGCACAAGATAAGCACATCTACGAATTAAACACTGTTACAGTAAACATCAGCAGCGGGGTATCAAAGCACGCAACACAATGATGACATTGCTCTCTATTTATCCGCCCAATGTCACCCTATCTCACTTCATTAATACTCCTTTATTCCCCTCTTAATCCCAACCTTTCTTTTTCACTCTTCACCTCAAAAATGTCAGCAAAAGAACTCCCCCCTCATCTTAAGCAATCCGTCGAGGCTTCGAAATGCGAGTATCGCAATCTTGGTAAATCTGGTCTGCGTATTTCAGTCCCTGTGTTTGGATGTATGAGCTTTGGCGATAAGAGGGTTCTTCCTTGGGTGATCGGGGAAGATGAGGTATGACGCCAATTTATTGCAGAGGCATGTCGCTGATTATTTTAGGCCCTGGAACTTCTTAAAGCAGCTTATGATCGTGGTTTAAACACCTGGGATACCGCGAATACTTACAGCAATGGCGCGTCAGAGGAAATCGTGGGCAAAGCGTTGAAGAAGTTCAACATTCCCCGCCACAAGGTCGTCATCCTCAGTAAATGCCGCTGGGGCGTAGGCGAAGAACCAGGTAATCACCATCCCCCCTCAATCTCACCCACGCACATATACTGATAGTGTAAGGCGCTCGCCACATCAACTTCAAAGACGAATTCGCCATCTCAAAAGACTACCAAAACCAATACGGTCTCTCCCGCACCGCAATCTTCAACCAAGTCAACGCATCCCTCGCGCGTCTTGATACAGACTACATCGACCTTTTGCAAATCCACCGCTTCGACGACGACACGCCCCTCGAAGAAACAATGAAAGCACTGCACGATCTAGTGCAATCTGGAAAAGTGCGCTACATTGGCGCGAGCAGCATGTGGGCGACCCAATTCGCACGCATGCAATTCGTCGCCGAAAAGAATGGCTGGACCAAATTCATCAGCATGCAGAACCACTATAATCTTTTATACCGCGAGGAGGAGCGCGAGATGATTCGTTTCTGTAATGATACCGGCGTGGGGATAATTCCGTGGGCGCCGCTTTGTAGAGGACATCTTGCGCGGCTGCCTGAGAAGTTTGGAGCTACGGAGAGGAGTAGGGAGGAGAAGGAAGGGTCTGGGGAGTTGTCGGAGACGGATCAGAGGATTATTGGGAGGGTTGTTGAGGTTGCGGAGAAGCATGAGTGGCCTATGGCGCATGTTGCGCTGGCGTGGATTAATCAGAGGGTCACGAGTCCGATTATTGGGTTTAGTAGTGTTGAGAGGATTGAGCAGGCTATTGGGGCGAGGGGGAAGAAGCTGAGTGATGAGGAGGTGAAGTATTTGGAGGAGTTGTATCAGGCTAAGCCTATCGCTGGACATACTTAGGAGCCATAGCTCAAGGTAGAGTCACAAGAAACAGACTACAGACACTAGTTCATACATCATGAATATGATCATGGTTGCAAACTTCATGATGTATTTCTTGACTTGAATCTCCGGATCTGTACGTATCGATTCCACGTAGAAAAGTTGATCCGGGTTCGGCATGTGTATCGGCAAGCTTCACGGAACGGCACTTTAGTTCGGCTACTAAACCCACTAAATCTGCAGCCCCGCGCCCTGCGATCAACGTTTACAGTGGCACTTAAGCCCCGCTCAAGCCCAGCGAACCTACCCCTCATCGTCATCTTCACCATGAGCTATTCAATCCCGTCAACGCAGAAAGCAGCTTTGATCGAGAACCCTGGAGACAACGCCCGCATCATATTTCAATCGGATCTACCGGTTGGCGACCCTGGGGAACACGAGATCCTTGTAAGGCTTGAATTTACTGGTCTTTGGTAAGCGTACCCATCTCCGTGAGACACATGAACTAAAACTCAAACAGCGGTTCAGAAGTCCGTGCTTTATCTGGATGGGGTCCCTATAACTCCATAGTCGGCCACGAAGGTGTAGGAAAAGTCGTCAAACTCGGCAAAGGCGTTAACGCAAACCTACTCAGCAAGCGAGTCGGCGTGAAATGGCTCTACAGCGCCTGCGGGACATGCACCATTTGCAAAACTGGCTATGCTAATAACTGTCCCAACCAGCTCAACACGGGAAAACATGTTCCCGGCACTCTGCAATGGTACATGATCGCTGATGCGAGATACGTCACTGAGATTCCGGATGGTCTCGCTGGTGAAGTTGCTGCGCCGTTGCTTTGTGCTGGGTTAACGATGGCTGGTGCCGTGTCGAAGCTCAAAGGATATGCTGACAAGGGTGATTGGGTTGTTATTTCTGGATCTGGTGGGGGACTGGGGCATTTGGGTGTTCAGATCGCTAGTAGGTTGAACGGTCTGCGGGTTATCGCTGTTGATACTGGAGAATCGAGGCGGAAGCTGAGTTTGGACAGTGGCGCTGAGCACTTCATCGACTTTGCCACTGAGAATGTAGAAGAAAGAGTTAAGGAGATAACGGGGGAGGGAGCATCAGCTGTCCTGGTGGTGACAGGCTCTCAAGAAGCTTTCGTGCAAGCACCAAGTCTGGTACGAAATATGGGCATCATCGTCACGATTGGTCTGCCAAGAAACGACTTCAACATCCCGCTCTCTGCAACTATATGTTCCGCAAGATGTAAGTGTTTTTTCCCTCTATTATATGGGGCTGATTGCTGACTTGATATGTAGCCCTGACTGTTACCGGAGTCGCGGTTGGCACGGAAGAGCAGATGACGGAACTCTTGCAGCATACCCTCGAAGGAACGATAGTCCCGAAGGTAATGGTTCTAGACTTTGAGCAAGTGGGAGATGTTATTGAGGGCTTGAAACGGCAGGAGATTACTGGTAGAATAGTCGTGAGAATACCATAAACAAGTATTGGCCTGTTACCAAGGCTCTTGTATCTAAGGCTTAACCATTTCAGCCACTACCGACAGGCTGCTTCGTGGTTCCATTCTCCCCTGCTCATTAAACATAACTGCCCAATGTCAAATAGATGAACGCATGACCCATAGTCCGCTCAAGCTCCTCATATTGCTCATCAGTCCAAGGACTTCTCAGCCGTTCACCCGCAGAAGGATCATACCCATCCTCCTGACTCTCCTCAATCCTCCTCTGCGACACCTCCGCCACGAGGTCCATAACTGTCGGCATCGCACGCCGTATCTTATCGTACAACTCCGGCATGAACCGGATATTCCGACAGCAGTATAGTCGGATATACGTAGCGACCGGAAGTTCCTGAAAGACTTGATGCGGTGCCCCAGCGCAATTCTTGTACGACCACTCTCCATTGAACTTATCAACCAACCATCTCCTCCGATTCCGCCCGTGAACAAGTAAACTATTCACCAGCGGTTCAAACTTCTGCATATTCTCTCTATTGCACCGACTAGCATTCTCCATGAGTTGCAAGTCACTCACCCCCTGCAACTTGATCCCATACTGATTATACAAAATATATGAATGATGACCAACATCAAACAAGACTTTTTGGTAAGATGCAGAGTCGAGAATACTTCGCAAACTAGCGCCGTAGTATCCTCTACTAGAAAAAGCCTGGTTTGCGAGACGGTGAACGTCAACGAGGTATAGACGGCGTTGATATCCGGGCCCGTGGCAGAGCATTATGGTCAAGAGGTTGAGTTCGCCGTTTGGGCCGAGACTTTTGGGGTCGATGTCGATGTAGAGGAGGGGGGACTCGTTTCTGTGGGAGGCGTTGAGAACTGCGATGCCGTCGGCGAGGGACTTGACGCCCCGGATTGTGCTGATGACTTCGACGTCCAAGAGAAGATCTTCCATTTTCGGTGGTGGTTTTGGATGATGCTTCTTGGGAAATAAGAGTTCCCGTAACTGCGTTTGCCTGTGTGCTTTTGGATGTCTCTTAGGAAATAGTAACTGTGTTCGCCTGGGTGCTTTTTTACGTGAGAGATGGAAAAGTGGAGGAGTCATGATGACTTGGCCAAGTGATTTCGGAGAGCTCTTGGACTGGTTTTATATTTTCTTTTCTTTGAGTTCCATATCCGATTTTCTTGAAGATTACTTTCGTGAAATGCCGAGAGACCTCCAATCATTGGCATGCGAATCTTATAAAGTTCCGGGCAATCGTTTTTGCCAGATAAATGACGCCAGCCCTAGAACTTGAAGCTTGATTGTGCAAACTCAGTATCCACCATCTGGCAAACCTCAAAGCATCGCCTCGTGCATATCAAAGTTCGAGAACTGCGCACCAAAGTATATCTTTCGCAGTCCACGTCCAGCCCTAGGGTATTGCAGCCTAAAAAGAGAATCCTAACCTTAACTGTAACGTTATTTTGGTCGGGTAACTCACGTGCTCGGTTGGTTCCGGACGCGGGACCACGTGCCTAAAAAATGCCATTACCGATGACTGGAACTTTCTCTTATTCTCAGGGGTCTCGTTCAGCCCAGTGGTAGAATGGGGGAGTTATTGATGACGCTATTTGACCAAGCGCGACACTTGAAAGTTCTAGATTTTCGGGAGTGGATCAATACGATATCGCCTGTGCAAAAAAGGCATGTCAGCATTCGATACTTATCGATATGAAATGCGTCAAGAATTGCAACTTTGTAAGTCACTAGATAACGTCAAGGAACGGATCAGCAGAGACCTTATATGTATTCAAGCTAAAGTATTGTCACCACATCTTGTTATTGTAGATTGAGGTCTTCGTTGGTGAAAAGTCATACTCCACAATTGGAAACGCGTTGAAAAATGACAGCCACAGTCCCTGACGCTACACTCCATTAAGCATAAATCTCTAATCCAGACCCTTTTTTCAATCGGCCGCTATTCTCGAATAAGTTCTATGGCTGAGCTGAATAACGACCTAAGACCCGACACAACGGATCTATTGCAAAGCTATACGCAACTATCGTTTGTCCGCTCACAAGTCAGGGGCAAAGCGCAATCTGTCGTGCAACCGACGATGGAGAAATTATCGTAGCCGTACTTAACAAGACTGGTCCCATGTTGTTTTCTCTTTCTTCAGTATCTGCATCATTCGTGAGTGTTCGTCCTCACAGCCACTCTTTCATCTTCCCTACACGCTCTTCACGATGCGCTCCGTCGTAGCCCTCGCGGTTTTAGCCCTTAGCGGCGCCCTTGATATCGTTGCTGCAAGCCACTGCAAACCTCGCCCTCAGAGCTCCGCTTCAACCGATCTCATCCCCTCCGACACCGCGACTTCAGCCTCTGCTTCCGAGACCGCTGGATCAATCGTCATCAAGAGTGTCATCGACGGCGGCGGTTTCTCCATCGCCCCTCCCGAAGGCGGCGTCCCAGGCTTCACAATCGACGGCGATGCAACCATCGTTATTGGACCAGGCTACAAGGGCGACGGAAGTAAAGACTCAGGCTGTCTTTCCCTACAAGCTAGTGGTGATAAAAAGCGTGATCTCGGAAGCTTTGCTGGTGTTGCGCAGTCGCTTGATCAACTAAGCTTGACTAGACCATACACCGTTCGCTTCTTTTACTTGGTCGTCACCGCCCCGTCGCTGAATTTCTGCCAATTGACTGCTTCGCTTGGTAGCCAGAATTTCTTCCAGACTTGGATCATTAGCTTTGGGACGAGTGTGCAGTGGGGTGTGGCTTTGGAGCAGGTCACTGCTGCTCAGCGCTCTGCACCGCTGTCTATTTCTATGAATTGTTTTGTTGGAGGGTCTGCTCAGGTTTATGTTGATTCGCTTTTCATGTCTAACCAGGTTACGCCTGCGACTATTGATGACCATCCTCTTGACCTTGGTGATGGCGATGTTTCTGGGTTCACTACTACTTCGTCTTCCGCTATTCAGGCGCCTACGTCTAGCAAGGTTGGAACTACCTCTGTGCCTCCCATCATTCCGACCCATACTGAGAGCCCTGATGCGTCCTCAAACTCTGCTGGAACTGGAAGTCCCAACACCCAATCCACAGGCAATCAGACACCAGCTACTGGCCACCCTCACACTGTTCCTACTCCCAACAACACGCCCGGTCCCGTCGACAGTCAGACCTCCGCCGGAGGCAACACCCAAGCTACTTCCCAGCCTGGTACTCAAACCCCTGGCTCTCAAACACCCGCTGCCCAGACTACTACATCGAGCACCGAGAAGCAGACCAGCACTGAATCTGCGGCTACAAGCGCTACTACATCAAGCGGCGGCTCTTCCCCTCGCCAATCTTCCACAATCAAGCCCGATGGTCCCGTCAGCCGCATCTGCGCCAACGTAGGTACATCCTCCATAGCCGGTCGCGGATGCGGCATGCAGCCCTACAACAGCGCCGGAGCATACAGTCGCTTCACAAGCAGCAACTACCAAAAAGAAGACTGCGCAGCCCTCTGTCTCGCCGATGAGAACTGCAAGTCCTTCGAATGGAGCTACGGAAACAATTGTGCCAACGAATGCCGCCTCATCGCTTCAGTCTTGAGCGACGTCCCTGTTGGTAACACAGGTGCCCAGTTCTACTCCTATGATCGCAGCTGTATTATCCCGATACCCTGTCCTAGCTTCCCAGATGATAGTATCTGTATCAACAAAATGGGCGATACTCCTAACAAGGGCTGTGTCCGTCGTAAGGGAACGCTCAAGTCTTGTGCTCAGGAATTCGCGACTCTTACCGTTCAGCCTTGCGGTGGTGGTGATCAGTGCAGAGATATGTGTGCCATGTACGCTGATTGCCAGTCCTACTTTTACACCAATCTCCTGTCTCAGAGGAACTGTAAGCTGTATGCTGGTACTGTCGATGAGATCACTGAAGAGGGTGGTAGGGATTATTTCTCTGATATTGGCTGCTGGGCTTGTGGACAGAACATGGGTTTCGCTACTTATGGTCTTCTCACCAATGATAACGTTGTCGTGCCGGAGATGACATGTCGAGCTCCTGTCAAGGCTGTCACTGATACACCTACCACCTTCAACACGAGAACCACTCAAGCCGCAGAGTCTACTTCTTCTTCAGCCGCCGTCCAACAACCCCCAACCACCACCACAGAATCAGCCAGCTCTACAGCTACCATGATGACCTGCCCCAACGGCATCGCGCCTCCCGGCTTCTGTCAAAAGCTCGACAACCTCCCCACCCAAACCGTTTCCCTCCCCGGTATTCTTGACCACTGGCCCCAGAGCGACAATGACGTCGAGCCCCCCGTCCAACGAACCTGCAACGCCTTCGGTGTCAAGAAGGGCGGCTGGTGGGGACGTGGTGTCCAAGAGAACGCACGTCAGACCACCATGGAGGATTGTGCCCTTCTATGTCGTGAGCAGGGTTACTGCGAGGCCTTTGGTCTTGATAACAGCGACCCAACTCGCGTTAGCTGTGCTTTGTCGACTTACAAGCTTGGTACTGAGGGTATTGACATCGACGTTCCTTATTCTTTCTGGTGGAGTGACCTGGATTGTTATGAGTGCCAGGACTGTCAGGCCGCTTGAGGTCGCTGATGTGGCTGGACGTCGTAACTGAATATATTAAAAACTAGTATCTCAGAGCAGCTTACTTTTAGAATTGCTGTATATAGGATAAGAATAATTATAATGGGTGTACACACCGAATTAGTCTCACTGAGAGAAGCACTGGACGACTCTGTAGCCACCGAGCTGGAAGGCTTGGATAGATATGAGCCCGGGGTGAATGCATCTTGCATATAATACATGGACGAGTCAGTGCAGGGTCTCATGGCTTTCAAATAATGCCAAGACGATCAATTGATACTGACCATTACGAACAACTATACAAGCAAGGAGCTACCTCAACCTCCAGCGCCTAAAAACGCCATTACCCCCACCAACATAACCACTCTCTACTCATAGTACTCCGGAGCAAGCTTATGCCTCATCAAAACATTTCGATCATGCCCAAGAATGACCTTCGCCCCCGTCGCCTTCTGCAACATGTGCACCAACTGATTAGACTGAGACCAAGCAGCATGATCTCTCGTCAACCAACCCTGAGTGCTAAGATTATCATAATTCTCCTGCACAATATACAAATCCGAGGTAAAGATCCAGGTACCACTTTCCTTCAAGTTGACTTGCATGATGCAAAGGCCTGGAGTATGACCGGGGCATAAATGCAGTGTTATACCGCGTGCGATGAGGATGCTGTCGCCGTAGAGGGGCGTCCAGTTTAGGTCGAATTGGAGATAGGTTGGTAGATAAACTCCTGTGACGGACGGTTAGTTTGATGTAACGGATGTTGAGTGGTATACATACCAATGTCTACCTTAGTCGCGACACTGTAAAAGGCATTTTTGAGTTCAATCTCATGAACGTAAATAGGCACATCAGTACCTTTAAAGTACTCCAATCCACCTGCATGATCCAAATGCAAATGCCCAATAATCACACCCTTGACGTCCTTGATGTCATGGCCAGTCTTCTTGATAGCTGCGTCGAGCTCCAAGTCCTCGCTATGCTCGCCTCTAGCAAATATGTCCGCAAGCTGGGGACCCCATACCTCTGGGTAATCCTTGCCTGCGCCTGTTTCGTAAAGGAAGAGGCCATCTTCAGGATGTCGATAAGAACAGAGATCATGACTAGATGTCGTCTTTTGTTCTCTGAGATTGGATGGCTGGCGGTACATACATTTCCCTGTTCATGTCAACTGGCGATGTCGTGAGATTGGGAATGGAGGACTTACAAAGGGGAGGAAAACGCCTTCATCGGCCACGAGATTGCCGATATGGAGAAGCCACATTCGCGTCCCCTACATAGAGTTAGTTGAGCTGAATGGCTATTTCAACCACAAAAGGCGTACATCGGGAGCGACTTGATAGTTGGGCTGCATTCTACAAGGCTGGATTGTTTAGAATTGGCTTTCAGTTGACTTGCGTGATAGTTACGAGAAACAGCACCTGGAAACAAGGCCTGGAATGCTTCTGGAGAACTGAACCCAAGGGAAACTTGACAAAGGATGGTTCGAGGTTTAAATATTCGCATTAATTTCTAGAGTTACTAGGTTATGCTCAGCTGTGAATATCCAACATCCATGCCATGCAACATCAAGCGGGCAAACCTACGCAGCAACGAACCAATAGCTTTCCTTTCTGATCCAATTACAAGTTTGACAAAGAGATAGGTAATAGTATGTCCGAGCGGCCGCTTGTACTTCCGAATGAGCCTAAACGCAAGTACTTGGAAGATGGTTGGCTAGTGAGCTCACAGAGTCGTATCCTACTGTCTTAGTACGACATGCAAGTTAAAACTCTCCCCGCTTTCTTGATAACTGCCGGTCTTCAAATGCCGAGAGTCCTATATCTGTATAACTATATGCATAAAATCCATTCCTATTTGGAAATGTTATTCGAGGGGGTTTCGGGGTAAGTCTTCTGACGCTTTGACCTTTGGAAACCCAAATACGTTATGCGGGACATGGGAGAGCCAGATCGGCGCGCTGTACTATGGCGTTGCGACTATGTCACAGTTTATCCATTTGTTGTACTCGAGGAACAAGGAGAGGTGATAGGAGAAACCACCGAGGTGAGCGCTTGATTGCTTAAAAGTAGAAGTACCAGAATAGTGTCTGGTGTAACATTGACCTACGGCGCTGGACTTCGTTAGTGGATCACCAAGCTCAAGCTTCGACTGGAAGATGAAAGATGCAAGTGGGTAAACATTGAGATATATCTATTGTATTGATGATTCAACTATCTAAAAGAATGAATTCTATATATTAATTCTAAAATTACTTAATGAGCGGGTGTATCATATCATTCAAATCATGAACCGTATGTCGTATCTATCTTTCCTCATCCTGATGCGTAAAATCCTCTAGTAAGTGTAAACCTGCTCGGGACCTAGATCGCCGAACTCTCCAGAGCCAAAGGGATTAGAAGCAGTGGCCTCCTGGCCGTTGACATTAGAAACACCAAACCAGGCAATATCCTTGCCCTTGACAACGGAAACAACAGCAAAAGCAGGAGCTGGTTCTGTCACATATCCCCAAGAGACCGTAAACTCAGAGCCATCAGTGCAGGGCTCGTTAGACCAGGTCTCGGTGGCAGCGTCCTTTCCGGGCATGCGGATTACCGTGCAGCGCTCAGTCTTTCCGCCGGCAGCGATCTCAAAGTTGTAGTCACAGCCTTCGTTTCCCTCCCCACAGTAGCGAGTAAGATCCTTGATGGTCCAGGTCTCGCCTTCGACAGGCTTGGGTTCGGGATAAGTGGTGCCCTCGGAGCCGGAACCCTCAGAGCCAGTACCCGTAGGCTTGGCACCCTCAGAGCAGTCTTCGGTAGGAGCGGGCACGGGAACAGGTAGCACCGAAGTTTTGGAAGCGATGGGGTAGGTGAAATAGCTTGATGGGCAAGATCCGGGGTGAGCAGGATTGCAGCCTCCAGGGATACCAGAAATAGAGGTGAATGTCTGAGCCGGAGCAGTATAGGTCTTGGTGAAGTATGAAGAGGGGCATGAACCAGGATGAGCAGGGTTACAACCACCGGGAATGCCGGAAATAGAGGTGAATGTCTCAACGGGAGCAGTGTACTTTGTAAAGTATGAAGAAGGGCATGAACCGGGATGAGCAGGATTGCATCCGCCGGGAATCTCGGTCTTGGTTGGCTCAGCAAGCGATGCAGTAGCAGAAGAGCACCACTCGCGGATGCGAGCGCTGTCTTCGCCGACGCAGGCGGTCAGAGTGCATGAGCATGCAACCTCTGGGGTTCCAGCGGCGACACACTTCTTGTAGGCATCCTGGCAGTCATCGCTGCTGTATAGAGGGGCAGCAGAGACTGCGGAAGCCACGGTCAGGGCGATGATGAACTTGTTCATGTTGAGCTCTTGATGATCGGGACTGGTGGGTTTAAAGAGCTTGCGAGGATAAAAGAGTTGAGTGTTTGACTGAGATGTAGAGATCCAGATGAAGATAGTGATGAGGGTGATGGAATTGATTTATCTGAAGACATCGCGTTGCATTTTATATCTCCATCTCGTCAATCTTCAACCCGAATCTCCATCAATCCGCTGCCCAACCTCTCGTATAATTAGAGTTTTCGTGCTCAACATGTCATGAACAAGTGATATCATAAATGTTCTAGCGCGGAAAAAAAGAATCCACGTCCAACCCCATATCGATCAAGCGCAGTCCCAAAGAAGCAATAGGCTCTGCCAAGCCTCGTATCCGACATCATAATCATGCTGAAATAGATCTGCCCACGTTTATCCCAGCCGACTTTGTTTTAGCTGGCGTTGCCGATGAACCGACCACTTCCGGGGGGCGCATGCTATCTGATCTACGGGTGATACGATTCCCCGCTCAACAATACGAGATAAAGACTGTCAATAGCCGAGCGTGTGAGGAATTTGAGTTTTACTATTGGTTGGCAAAGTTTACGTCGCTTTGGACTGGCTGTCACGGGGTTTAGGTGCATGCATAGATAGAAGAGTGGCGATAACCTCTTGGTAGAACAGGCGAACACGCAACAGCACTTGAGCTTCTAGCAGCATTAAAAATACGAGCAGTTCATTGACCTAGAGAGTGTATGGACCTGATTTTATTTCACTAACGACGATGCACTTCTATCTCTAATTCTTCCCTTGTCAGGCCCTTGCTGCCTGATCGTATCAAGAGCAATGCTCTTCTACACAATCGTCATCTAGCTTCATTCACTTTCAGTGTCTTCAAAGTCTTGGCAATCGGTTGGGACAATTTCAGTATTGGAATTACTACTTTCCACTCAATCGATACTACATTGATTAATAGTTAAAGCTTATAACGTCTCAACGATACAAATTAAGCGAATATCTAGACAATCCTAGTTAATAGCTGATGCTACATGTTCACCAATTCCTTGACTTCTCAGGTATCAGGGAGCGGTGGCTGAGAGTTGACGGCTTTCTTAGGTAGACATACGTTCTATCCACTTGTGAAAAAGTCTTTCCCAGGAACAAGACATCGATCAGAAAAATATTACTTATCCCTTCGCCTTTCCAGCGACTAAAGATATTTCTTTTGCATTTTTAAGGTTATATAATTGCTGGTAAAAGTGGCGTTCCTAACAAGATTAGAGTGCTACCAATCAATAATATCAAACGCTATATATGAGGTCAGCTATAGCCCTCTAGGCGCAACCTTGTACCCAATACTATAACCGTGTATCTGATGTTTCTATATGACCTATCGGCTGTCAGCTAAAACCTCCCGACATGCTTATGGCTTGCCGTTGGCGCTGACGCCACCACTAATGCCGCTACTACCAGCAGCTTAATCGCTACTTGTCATCACCTCTTGACTTAAAGGAATCCTTCGACGAAGGTTTATATGCACAAGTGGTGCAGTACACCATGGCGGCGTAGCATGCGCTGACACTCTTCCAGACACTTATTTAGGTACAGGAGTATTGCATACCATAGAGCTGTGTGTGGGAAAACGTCGTGCCACCATTGTTTACCCAAGGACGTCGCACAATAAAGAAGAGATAGTCAGCATCTCTTTCATTGGCTCAGATATGCTGTCTTGCCTCACAGGCCAGATACGGAATCCATTGCGCGATTTCTCCAGCCCCTGCCTCTCGATCGACATGACTACCCTGCAAGTCGAGAAACATGTCACTGGTGCTTGTGACACATCACTTCCAACGGCCAGGGCCCTGTGCCAAGTTTCTTACCCCAGCTCGCATCACCGATATCCGAAAATGCCCTGATGCAGCATCGACAACTAACTCCTACCATTTTCTGATGCACATTTATAGTACTTCGTTATCTTACAGGTGGAAAATTAATTCTCTGATTGCCAGCCTAAGTCAATCACGCGGTACTGTTGTAAGAATTGGACGAATTACTGATCCTGCGGACCGTTAATCCGACCGATACCTGTAATCGGGCGTAAGCACTATAACCTAAAGCTTCGACCTTGGTGCAGTCCCCTGTTAGTGACTTTACCTGTTGGGGCTCGTGCATCGTGCGGCTGAGGATCAGCGTCAGCGATCGTCGAACAATCAGTAAATTGCCTCAAGAATGCGAAGCAAAACCCCAGATTTCTCTTCATTGATACAGAACCTACATAGACATAATTTGAAGGTTAATTAGCAAGGGTTTCTCAAAGAACATGATGCAGCCTGGGCTTGGTGTCATTATGGATATTCTGCCTGATCATCATTGTCCTGCAGGCTATGGACGCCACAAAGCGCTATTCACAACGACTAATGCACGCCCGGACATTCCAGTCACATAAGGTTAAGTGTCCACCCCGGCCTCTGTTCACTTTCGGTATAGCATTGCGCAAAGCAGTGAGACGAAGGCTGCATTCTCTTTATTTCTCAGCCTGATTGCTCTTGGCAAGGTTGACGCCCAGGGGCGATCCTCGATCATCGCGCCACGAGGAGACATTAGAAGAGGGGTAATGCGTTGGCGGCGAGTTATAAATGCGTGCTGGGCGCCACGGGCCAGCCTCGCTGTCGGGAGGGGCTTTCAGGCTTGACTACCGTTTGTTCTTTTCCTCAAGTTTGAATCAGACTCTGGTTATCATGCTGTTCTATCAGATTGCGCCCTTTGCCCTTTGGGTAGGTAGAGGTGCGGCGAGTGGTCATCAGCTCTTCCACGACAAATTCCAGTTAGATGAGCTGCCTAACATGGTATCACTGGCCGATGCCAAACTGAAAGACATTGTGCTGCCCGACTCCCTCTCTGACTTTACAGAGTGGATCGGAGGAATCGCAGAGCCACAAGCCTTTGGCTTACAACCCAGGCAACAACAATGTGCCGACGCAGGTTACTGTACGTTAAACCCCGGAATTCCTTGATACACTGCCGTTGACAAGATCACAGACCCATGCTCAAGCGGTCTCGGATGCTGTCCTGAAGGCAGCACCTGTATCTCAAGCGGTTGCTGTCGCGGCAACGCCCAAGAATGCGGCTCAGGCCGGTGTTATATTCCATCATCGCAAACTTGCTGCAGTAGTGGCACTGTTTGTCTCAAAAGCCAGACTTGTGTCAGTGGCGGCTGCTGCAGCAGAGGCGAGGCGAAATGTGGCTCCTCTGGGTGTTATAACCCTGACACCTCAGTATGCTGCGGCGGCATCGGCAGGAATTGCCCCAAGGGTTATGACTGCATGCCCGGTGGTGGATGTTGCCCTTCAGGCCAGAAGCGCTGCGGAAACAGCAAGTGCTATAATCCCAAAACGACGACTTGCTGCACCGGCCCTGGAACTGTGTGGCCATGCCCAAAGTCTAGTGACTGCTGTTCAACTGGCTTCTGCGCCAATCCCTCGACTCAAAGGTGTTGTAAGAATGGCTCGTGCTTGAAGGGTACTACGTGCTGCGAGAAAGAGTGCTGCAAGTCAATTGGCTACTGTGGTTCTGATGGGTATTGCAAGCCCTGTCCTGCTGCCACTTCGACGATCAAGTCCACCGACACAGTTACAACGACTAAGATGAAGACTGTGCGAGTTACGACTGATATAGAGCCCGACACGGGCAACGCTCCTGAGTTTACATGCGTTCCCATGACAGCTACAAACGACGAAGGCGCGACACTTGAACTCGATGAGGGATGCACTCTGCACTACGAACCCCCCGAAGCTACCACCACAGATGATAGCGCTGCTCGTCTTCGTCGCGATGCCGCAACAGCACCCGCCCAAGTCCATAAGCCATTGGCCAGACAACTATCCTGCACACCTTATACCATTTATACAACAACCGAATGGGAGACCGAGACCGAGACTGAAACTGGCACAAAGACTGTCACGGTGCAAGGCGAAGATGGAACTTTCTCTTGTCCTGAGATGGAGGTTACTAACGATGTCGGCGATACTCTTGCTCTTGATGCTGAGTGCGTTTTGTCATTTACGCCGGCTGAGACAACGAGTTCTGAGGAGGGAGCTTCGGCACAGGATCAGCCGACGAATGTACCGGCTGGGACTGGGGAGAGTACTACTAGCGTGACAGCTACTGCAGGAAGTGGAGGCTCGAATGGTAACAGTGGTTCTATTGAAAGAGCTTCTTTGTTCCTGGTGTTGAGCTTTACTGGAATTGCGATGTTGATGATGAATGTCTAGTTTACTTTGTCGCAAATTGAGGGTGTCAGCTTACCCAGTCTTGACCGAGATTTTTACCACTTGACTTGATAATGATGTGATACAGGCACTACCAAGTTCAATACAAAAGAGTAAAACAAATTCACTTTATCCTAGCAGTAATAAAATGAAAGTGTCTATCAACGTCACCCCTCCAAGGTTGAGCTATTGAAGATGAAAATGGACCTAAAATTTGTCATGCAGGGTAGGCAAGATTCCAGCATCTGCTAATGATTCAGGCTTTATGAGGGTTGCTAAAGCGTTGATTGATATTGAGAGCTGTTACACACGAAGATTGCAACTGTGACTCAAAGTCGAGTATTACATATTCTCTTCATGGTTATCAGAAAGAGACATATTGAAGTTCCCATGACCAAGATTAAGGATAGCCAAGACAACGGAAGAATTAATGACCCGAGTTTCACATAGCGACAACAGCCGCGATTGGTGGAAACCCCCCTTTCGTGGGACCGTAACTGTCCAATCTCAGCTGAGTATTTAGTTGGCTCAGCGCCACTGGCTCACGAGACCAAATGGAGAAAAATCCTTCAGTTCTCTTCGCTATGTTTCCGTCACACAGGCTGTGAATTCAACCCGACTTAATTACAGGGGACTGTTAGCTGCGCTGGCCGTAGACATATTTTCACAGTTTATCATCAAAAGGATCTAAACATGTCTCACTCTCAGAACAAGACGCAGGCCAATCAGCATGGAGAGTCAGAGGCTTCATCTCTCCTGGCCCCAGCCATCAATACCTCAGATTCCTCAGATACATCCTCCGAAACAAGCTCCGACTCCGACTCAACAATCTTTTCAAAGTTTCAAGACTTTTACTCCCGAAACATTGGCTTATTCTACGTCCTAGTAGCTCAACTATTCGCCTCAATAGTAAGCACGCCACTCCCGCCGATGAAACAATCACACTAACAAACCTAGATGTCCATGACAACGCGACTTCTCGAAACAGGTTTTGAAACAAAGTTCCACGCTTTGCAGATCATATTTGTGAGAATGCTGGCTACGGCGCTGATTGGGTCTGTGTACATGTGGTGTAAAAACGTACCGAATTTTCCGCTGGGGCCGAAGGAGGTTAGGGGTTTGTTGGTGCTGAGAGGGTTTGCGGGATCAGCTGGGCTTTTTGGACTTTACTGTGAGGATTCCTTGATGGAGTAGTTGGGGAGAGGTTTTGCTAATGTGTTGGTGTAGATTCACTGTCGTATCTTGATATTTCTGATGCGACGGTTATTACGTTCCTTGTCCCGACTCTTACTGCATTTATTGCGTGGGTTGCTCTACGCGTGAGTACAGCCTTGATCTTTGACCATGGTTTCAACTAACTTGTATCTAGGAACCATTCACGGTCAAAGAAGCAACCGCTGGTTTCATCGCCTTCGCAGGTGTCCTCTTCGTCGCTCGCCCAGCTTTCCTGTTCCCCGAAAGCTGGCGAACACTATCGGAGTTGGAGTCTCGCGCTGTGGACCCGGAATTCACTGCTGATGGTGGTATCTTGCCACCGGTAAAAGCTACACCACAAGAACGTACTATCGCTATCCTGTGTGCCATCTTCGGTTCTTTTGCAGCAGCAACGGCATATGCGACTATCCGCGTCATCGGGAAACGCGCACATTCGCTCGTCAGTGTCAATTACTTCGCTGTCCTTGCTACTGTCAGCTCGTTTCTCATCATCATGATTCACCCTGATCTTCAGTTTGAGATCCCAAAGACAGTCGCTGAATGGTATGCAACCCTTTCCCTAATCTTGGTCCACAGCTCATATAATTAGGTGTTTACTTCTCTCAATCGGTATCTCTGGGTTTCTTCTCCAGCTTCTCCTCACTGAGGGTCTTCAGCGGGAAAAGGCTGGTCGAGCCACCAATCTAATCGTAAGTCCTGCCCGTCAACATAATCGTGACATTTACTAACCAACCACAGTACGTTCAGATGGTCTTTGCGCTGATCATTGAGCGGATTGTCTGGGGAACTACGCCTCCTATCACCAGTTTCATTGGCAGTGCTTTGATCATTGGTTCAGCTATCTGGGTCAGCCTACAGAAGAAAGCCCCTGCTGAACCTAGACCACTACTTGACGAGGAGAGAAGACAGCAGTAATATGTGGAGGCTCGGTCACCAGGTATATCAATGGGAAGATCTTACAGACTACCCAAGGGTTCCATGCCACATAGAACACACACGAAACCAAGGCCGCGCGGATCACGCTACAGTGGTCACGTCTATAAGCTAGCTGCGTGCTTGCGATATAGACCATTCATGTAGAAACTAATCACATCGCATATATAGAAAAGTTTTATTTGTTAATTAAAAATCATTTAATAAAGCTCAACAGTGCCTTACTTCACTTCTTCGCCTTCGCAATACAAGCCGGACAAGTCTCCTTATGATTATGTCGCTCCACGGTCGACTTCCCACAGGCGCCCCATTTGTTCTTCCTGCGACCCGTACTACACATTTTGTAATCTCTGTTAGTTCTGTGATCTCTGCCGCATTTGGGGCATTCATAGTTGTTGACTTCTTCGATACACATGGTAGATGTCTACGGTGTGTTTTACGATTCACTTTTGGGTTGTTGTGAAGAAAGGTTTGACCATAGTAGGCTGAGGGCGAGAACTTATATACTCGGCATAGTATCGCACATCGGTGAATGTGCACGCGCAAGTCTCTATGCTGTCAGTTTATGGAGGGGACATATTTTGTGAACTGCTCTCTGATCATGTGAGAATATGACCTAGGACGCCCGTACTCTGATATACTTTACGGGAGACCGGAAAGTCATTTCGCTATGCATTCTCTGCAAGCACCAGCAAATGATGTTTTCCTTGACGCTACCTCGACCTAACCTTTACTTGATAGTTGACCTTTCGATACCCGTGACAAGATATCTTTAGGATCGATCACATTGAAGTCTAACCCCTTTCTTAACTAAGCTCCTGCTGATTTGCCTCCAGTTACTTCTTCTTTGCACAAGCACTGCACTTATCCTTCCAATATTCATGTTGGACGTTGTACTTTTTGCAAGCACCCCATCTATTCTCCTTTCTCCCAACTTTGCACATCGTGCAGTCTCTTCTTGATTTGAAGTCCTTGCTACATACTGTGCACTCCCATGTGTGAACAACCTCTGTACACATGATTCGGTAGGTATCGTAGGATATATCTTATGGAATATATATGTGTAAGGATATAATAATTAGAAGATAGAAATGTGACAGAAATCTGGCCGATAAGTTTAAATAACTTACATATAAGATACTGGTGAGAGAGGTGTGTTAGAAAGCATGCTATGCATCGCTCAGTGAACATTGAATAAACGTCACTTTGTCATTGAGCCTGGGAAACTTGGCGAAGGACATTGCTTCGCTTACAGCTTGAGCATTACTCTTTGCAAAAATGGTTCATCCTTTCTAACCATTACCCTAAGCAATAGCAGCCATTGGTATTGGCCTTCTTGTTTCTTTGTGCTGTAAACTCTGACGTCAGGCTTTGTTCAAATAGGCTCTGATTCAGCCCAGCCACATCTTTGCCATTCCCCTCCTTCAACAGCTCCCTCTACCCATTATCAATCTTCCTCATCCTACACACCTCTCAAACCTAAATCATCAGCATCAAAGTCAAGATTGTTGGTGGCAAAAACAACTTCTGGCTCTGGACCAAGAAAGATGGCTTCGATCTGACCCACCCACCAACTCCAGATTCACCACCTATCTACCCCCGAATCACTCTCAACACGCGCGCTGAGAAAGTCACCATCGACCCTGCAAAGACTTCTCTCGTCGTAATCGACATGCAGAACTATTTCCTATCGCCTCTTCTTGGTCGTCCCCCCAAGAGCCCTGGTCTGGAGATTGTCAACAAACTCGTCACACAAGTCATTCCTGTGTGTCGCAAGGCTGGCATTCCAGTGGTGTGGCTTGGCTGGGGCGTGAAAGACAGCGACTTAGATGACATGCCCCCGAGCATCGCAAGAGGTTTTGACTTTCCTCTCGACAAGAACTTTGTCAAACCCACGTTTCTTGGAAGTATCGGCGCTGAGATTGGAAAAGTCAAGTGTGAAGACGGGACGCTCATCGACGCGGGCCGAGTCATGATGCGAGACCAGTGGAACACCGAGTTTCACCCCAGTCTGAAGGCCATCGCAGAACCACAAGACATACACATCAACAAGAATCGACTTTCTGGTTTCTGGGAAGGAACTGGCATCGAAGACGCACTGCGTAAGCGAGGTATCAGAACCTTGCTGTTTACGGGGGAGAACATGGATCAGTGCGTCGCTGGGACTATTCGGGACGCTTACACCAAAGGTTGGGATTGTCTAATGCTCAGTGATGCTTGTGCAACGACAAGTCCTGACTTTGCGACGAAGTGCACTGAGTATAACTGTCAAGGAGGCTGGGGCTTTGTGTTGAGCTGTCAGGATTTGGCTGATGGGGTTGATGCTATTGATCGAGGAGCTTAGGTACACAATGGCTTGGAAGGCTTGTATCAACCCAGCAGGCAATTTGTATTCAATGGTATATGAACCTGTTCACTTTGTCCTACCAACAGAACGCTAAACTATTATTTCCGTACTCGAATGTTCTACTTCTTCCCAGCCGAGATCATCGAATCATGACTCAAGATCCCCACAAGCGTCTCCCTCTTAACACACTTCTCAAACGAAAAGCTACTCGCAAGCTCCTCCAACTCCTTCTTACTCTTATCCCTAAACAGCTCCGCCAGCTCCCATCCCACATACTCACTCATCAAGCACTCCCTAATAACCCGCTCAAATTGCCTCTCAAAAGTCCAAATCTTTGGATACTTTGTGTCTCTGTACTTCTCCAGTACTTCTTCCTTTAATCCCTGAATAAATGGCTCGTAGAGGTGCTTGACGCCGTCCTTGTTCACGACACCCCAGAAATCAAGACCCAGACGCTGTTTCTTGGCGATGAAGGGCGCGATGAGACGCATATAGGGAGACTCGGGATCGACGTAGACCATGCCTTGATAACCGACGTCTTTGTACAGCCAGATAGACCAATTAACATCTGTTTCTCTGTAAATAGCCAATTGCTCCTGTAATAGATTAAAGCGTTTGGCATTAGTCTTGATAGCTTCATCACCCTCCTTATACTCATTCTGATAAACAGGACCAAACTCTCCGTTCCAAATCGGTACGTTCTTCTCCCTCATAAACTGCACCTTTCTCTCAAAACTCTTCCTCAGCTTCGTATTCTGCTCGTCTGTACCCTCATACTGCTCTCCAAGCGGAAACCCGTAGAAGCTGTAGTCATGACAGGCGTACACAGCGTTGGGAAGAGGGTTCTCGGGAAAGGCGCGGAAGTCCATTGCGTATGTGTTTCCGTCGATAAAGATCATATGATCAGGGTCAATGGCGCGTACTTCTTTCTCGGTGCGCTGGTACCACTCTACGAGCTTGGCGCCGTAGTGGCCGGATGAGGTCTTGGTTTCGTCGGCGGGTTCGTTGAGGAGGTTGTACCCTGCGATAACGGGATTGCCCTTGTAATGAGCTGCGAGAGCTTTCCATAGTTGGATAGCTCTGTCTTGATGATCCTTGAAGTCCCAGAACGCTGCCCGTGAGAGTCCAGAATCACTGTGCCAATCTTGGTTCTGACCACCTGGAACGGCATGTAGATCAAGGACAGCGTAGAGGTTATGCCTGGCGCAAATATCCACACAGCGATCTAACCACTCAAACCCAGATTTCTTCAAGTTATCAGGATCCATATCGTCGATAAAATGACGATAATTGAACGGGATGCGGATACAGTTCAGACCCAGTGACGCAAAGTAAGCGGCATCAGAGTCTGTGAAAAAATGATATAAAAGTCTATCAAAAAAGAAGTTTGCTTTTTCTTCACCCATGACTTCAGCCATTTGTTGTCTGTGTTGATGTTCGTGGCCTGCGTAGCCGGTGATGAAGTTCTCCATGTTGAGCATGCCGCCGATGGCAGCGCCCTTGAGGATGACGGTGTTGCCGGAGGGGTCGACGATGCGACTGCCCTCTGTATGAAGCATTTTACATGTCGATGGCTTTTGAAGGGTGGCTTTGGGGACGGCTTCGTAGGAGCCGGAGTTGTCTGCTGTTGCGACCATGGTAAAGAGTGTCTGGTAAGGTAGTGATGTGAAGAGGGGAGGATTAGAAGAATGAAGCAAATAGAAGATGAAGTTGCTAATGCGAGTGATGCTCTGTGAAGTCTGCCGGTTTCCGAAAGGCATTGCAGCCTTCACCTAAATAGTCCCGTACACTAAAAGTGGAGGTTTTCTTATGAGCGACACTCCCCGATAGGATCCGCCACGACACCACCACGAACCATTCCCCCGGGATCCCCACATCCATTACTCGCTAAACACGGGGAAGAACGCCTTAACCAATTTATTAGTGTATATCATGTGTTAAACATCAATTAGCACCCAGCCCATGCAAAACCTCCTCCAAGAAATTCCGATGGTTTGACAATCCCGGGACATCATCTTCCCAAGCCATCACAACTTGCATGACCCTCTCACACGCGTCCCTCCACCCCACAGGCATCCCCGAACCCAAGAGCCGCGCGGCAATCAACACCGTCGCGGAACGGACTAGAGCTCTGATCATGAACCACGTCCCGTGATGGCGATGTAAGAACCCTGCTTCGTTGACCTGGACATTAAGAACATGATACTCCAAGCCCTTTTCTACAAACTGGCGACCGGGTATAGGTGTCGTTACGCCTCGTTCCAGAGCAGCGAGATGTGCCATGACGAAGGGCCAGTAGAGGCGTTCGAAGAAGTTTACTAAATGTCCGCGGAGGACGAAGCAGCATACATTGTCGTTAATGGGTGCTGAAGCGATAGAGAGTTCAGGCGGGAGACTCTCGGCCCATTCGTTGGCTTGGGTTTCGTAGGCGGGGATGAGGAGGGAGAGTTGCTTGAGGAAGTCCAGGTTGGAACTTGATGCTCGGTGGAGCTCGAGGATGTCGTTGCATGTTCTGCTTGCCAGACGCCGGAGGGATATTTCCGAGAGGTAGAATAGCCATGCTGTGTGTTGGCGACTTGATGCTGTGGTCTTGGTGGACTCGAGGGGATGAGGAGGGGTTGGGAAGAATGGCGGATAGATGACGCTTGAAGAGGCATACGGCATGCTAAAGTCTGGCATTGATAGCTCTGCTCGTAATTCTCTCTCAGACTTCCACGCAGACCAATACACAGCCTCTTGCTGCGTCTCACCTAATTCCGGTCTCGCTAAATCTTCCCCATCGACTGCACTGAGAGACTGAGCCCTCTGCAGGAACGGCAACGTCTGACACATGCCCAAAGCCTGCGAGAAATACCGCCACGCCTCAAAGGGTCTAAACGTACTCATCAAAAACACCCCCGACAGGAAGAAGCACTGCGCCCCAATGATATCCGATCTCGCCATCAACGTGCCAATCCTCTTCTGCGCCGCCTGAAACAGCGCCTGAGCCTCTAAATAAGCCGTTGAATCAGCCCTCAGATGAAAACTCGCATCTAACGGCGTCGCAATCTTTCCCAGCGCGCAGATAATCAGTGTTAGACATGATCCAGGCGACCAATCGATCCCGTCGATGACGACGTTGAGGACCACTTTTCTGGCAGCTGCTTCTTCGAGGATGGGGTTCTTGCAGTGCACGTGATCGAAGAAATTGTCGAGAAGCACTTTTACGCCTTGGGTATCGAGGTCTGCTATGTCTGCTAGGGATGTGCACCCGGGGGAATAAGATGGGGATGGTTG